AGCTCGTTGTAGAGCAGGCCGTATCCGGGTACACGTACGGTACCTAAGGTAGACCCTAGCTCGAGCATCAAGTCCATGGAGATTTTACCACGCACCTCGCTTTGGTATTTTAAGACACTACCGTAATTCCACGTGTACATTACTGCGAGGAAGAACGAAGCGAAGGCTAGTGGGACCCACCCACCTTCCATTATTTTGGATAAAACAGCCGATAAGTAGATTAGTTCTATCGACCCGAATATAATTGGGAATGCAAGAGCTAGGAGTAAATTCGTTTGCCATATTAGAAGCATTACGAGTGTAACTAAGGTGGTGCTCACTATCATAACTCCCACTTCAGCAATGCCTGCGAAAAATGGGATTTTCTTAAAAAAAAAAATCAAGATTGAATCTTTTCTTTCTTTTTTGTATCAAGAAAATGGGTAAAATGAAGAAATAATACTAACCGTAAGCGTTTGCGATTTCGGTGGTGCTTCGGAAGACTGCAACGATTATAATGCACATGACCATTAGAAAGTAGTTGATAACGGGTACGTAAATTTGGCCCATCATTTTTCTTGAAGTGTGGATGATTTTAAGCCTAGGGAAGCAACCAAGTGCCATTGCTTGTTTTACGCAAGAAAACGAAGCGGAGATCATAGCTTGGCTAGCAATTATGGCAGCAATTGTGGCTGTCGCGAATACTGGCCAGAATAGACCCTCTGTAATATTTTATTTTTTTACGACTTATAAATGTCAAAACGAGGCTCGCAATATGGATTTTGACGAGGGAATTAAAATTAAGATATGGCGGGAAAAAAAATAATTATCACCTGGAACGGATTCGTAGAATATTCTGTCGGCTGTTTGAGGTTGTTTGATAAGGTAGGCTGCTTGTCCCATGTATGCTAAGAGGAGGCAGGGGAAGACTACTGTAGTGAAAGCAATCTGCAGAAATTGGATAAATTAAATAAAATTGGACTACTAAAATAAATATATAAAATAATTAATTAAAAAAAAAAAAAAAACCTGTATGGATGGAACTGAGAAATGGCCTAAATCAGCAAACATTGCTTCTGCACCTGCAAAATGTGATTTTTATAATAAATAACACATTTTTAACACCTTCGTCACAAAGGCCCAATTCCGTTTTCTTGAATTTTCGGATAATCGGTAGCAAATTCAACAGCTTACCCGTGATGCATAAAACACAACCACCGAGTGCTGACCAACCCTTAGTGCCGTTTTTCTTGAAGAAAAGGTATATGTAGGCAGGATTTAGTGCCTTTACGACAGTTACGTCGTACTTGAAAAGGTTGTAAATTCCGATGCATCCCAAGGCTAATAAACCAGTAACGCAAGTGCAGGAGCAAACATGAACCCTACTTTACTTGTCCCAAATCTTTGTATGCTAAACAGTCCGACTAGGATAACAATTGAACGTAACTACAAGTGCATCTGATAAAAAGCAAAAAAATAAATTAATTGATGTTTTTACTTATTTGCTTCAAAAATATTCGATATAACGGTTAAAATTAAGGCATATTAATTCACCTGTGCCAAATCCCGGTACACGACCCTGCAGACCACTAACTGCAGACATAACTGAAAACAAGAAAGGTGCAATTTTTCGCTATAAAATTGAGATAAAATGAAAATCGAAAATCCGAAACACAACTAAAGACGACAAATACATCCGTACAGCATGTTATATACGACCATATTTTATATATATACCTGAGATTGCGGGAGTAAGAATACCATCCCCGATAATCATAGATGTTCCCATAAGAACAAGCAGTAAAAGAAATTTCTTTAAATACGAATTACGTTCCAACTTGTCTTTTATACTCAAAGCCCTTTCTAGTTCAGGAGTGGGCAGCTTAAGCTTGTAGCTCGAAATGCATTCATCGGCAGGCTGACTATTTGGGAGAAGATTGACTTTTGCATACCTACAGATTAACGAGTACAATGCAAATGTTCCGCCTGTAATTACGAATCAACGAGACGAGTCAATACATTGCAAAAAGATTGCATTTTCAAAATAAAGACGAGATTTTTTTTGTACCTTCCCCATTATCGTTTGCCTTGAGCACGACAAAAACGTATTTGATTAAGGGGATGAGTGCGATTGTGTAGATAACTAGTGAGAGAGTTCCTAAGACGTCGATTTCGGAAGTAATTGGGACTTTGCTGAATACATCGGAGAATACGTAGAGTGGGCTTGTGCCCATGTCACCGTACACTACACCGAGTGTTTGAAATGCTAATGCCATTGTTCTCCAAACAGAGTCATCCTGTTTTCAGTAAAACCCTAGGATTAAAAAAAAAAGCCCTAAAAAAATATATTGTCTTAATTCAGTCAAATGATGTAAGAAAACAGAATAGACCAACAACAATTGCAACAGCTCAATATTCTTCTAAGTTCTAACAAACTAACCCAAATGTAAAGAAATTAAAATTGAATGAATAAACAGAGGAAATTGGATTCAAGACATGATTTTTTTTTTTAAGATTGAATTTTTATTTTATTTTTAGTTTCAATTTAACCTTGTGGTGGTGGCCATGAGAGCCAGCAATCTCCATAGCTTCAACATCAAAAGAATCAAGTCTTTTGGGTTTCTTGATTAGCCTTCTTCGGACAGTTGCACCATACCCTTGTCTACTTTCATTATCATCACCGACCAAAGACCAAGGGGGTGACTCAGAGTCAACCTCACTCCCATCCACCCATCTCGACGACTCTCCGGCGGCGCCGCCGCCTCCTCCTCCGCCGCTGGCGCTGCTACCAAGCAACCTCACGCTGCTCTCTTCAATCCCATCTCTTTCCATTTTTTTTCTTTTATGTTCCACCAAGAATGACTGGTCTACACTACACCTTGAAAAAATAGTTCAAGAATCAAGAATCAAAAATCACCACCTAATCATTTTTTTCCGACCAATCCCAGAAAACCCATCCTGGGATTTGAAAATCTTTAGTGGGGAGAGTGTGATTACAACAGGGATTGTATGATTTAACACGAAATAAACGTGAGAAAGATCGTCTTTTTATGACTGTTAAATTTATTGAAAAGCGGTATGGGGGGATAGCTCAGATTTTTATTGGCTTGCTTAATGAGTGACCAATCTCTAACAAGTGATTTGTCAGCATGAGAACATCTTAGTCACAAACAGACAAAATTGCAATAATAATGCGAATTTGGACAAAGAAAAAAGGGCAATACTCATTACAGAATTTCCTTATTTATTTGTATTAACTTTTTTTTTTTCTTTTTCAGTTGGATTGGTCCGAAGAATGAGAATTGAATGGACTAATTTAGAATTACTTTTAAATCCTCAACTACAGCATTTGATTTGTTAGTATGAATTAAATCCACTTTTCTCGTACATAAAATCATTTGAAATACTTTTTTCATATTTTTTTTCTAAATTCGGACCGTTAAATTAAAATACAATCTACCTAATACATTTTCAAGTCTTCTTGTTGGGTACTCAGTTTGAATTTAGCATAGGTTCTTACAACACTAAAATGGAATAAACTATTACAGTGAATAATATGTGGGAATGCCGCTTAAGGATTACATATATATACTAATTTATATATAAGAGATAAGAGACAAAATATAGTAACAATTTCAACCCTCCATACTGTATTTATAGAGTTAAACGGTTATCGGTGGAGAAGCCACCTGAGAGTTAAGATCAGCCATAGTAGGTTGTGTTTGACTCAGAAGTCACCGAAAGAAGACAGAGAGAAAACACGGAGGTACAAAAAGACTGAAAATGGGCGGTTAAGATGAAAGTCTAGAAGCTTCTTTGTTAAATCGAACTTAGTAAATGAGCGTGACGTGACGAAATCAAGATTGGGCCGAAATTCAATGAATAAATCATTTGGGCCCAACTACACACATGCTTTTCAACTTTTCTGGGAAAAGAATATGCCGTTTCATGCTTCTCAATTTCCCATGACTCCTCTGCACTCTGCAATATATATATACTGTATACATATATATATTAAATTGATCTTTACAACTAATGTGATTATATATAATTAAAACACATTCAATAGTAATAACTGATGTTACCAAATACAAGATTGCATTTATCTCTAGACAAAGGAAAGGAACCAAAATCATATCACAAAAAAACATTTGAAGTTCAGACAAATTTCATCTCAAGACAAAAATAAGGGTTCATCTCTAGTCTTGTGAACCACCAAATAAAAAATTAAAATAAAAAATCTTCCAATTCTAACAAAAAATAGAGGCTTGTACTCAATGCATGGAAAATTGGTACTTAAATTAAGTAACTAAAACAAACAAAGCTTAAATTCCACATAAGCACCAGAATCACTTCAATTAGCTTTAGACTCAATCACCTCTTCTGGCAAATGAAGGCAAACAGAAAGCTGCTGAATGAATCTGCTAGAAAAATACAACACAGCAAATGACAGGCGGCGGGTTATCACTTATCATCATCACACGTAAAACGCGAAAGTGCAAAAAAAAAAAAATGAAATTTACTATAAAAGACGGTGTGTACCTCGGAGTTGTAGAATTTCAACGGTCCGTTTGTTTTGACGTGACTTTCATCGTCATCTATTCTGTTAATCGGGTTCTTGAAGTCAACCGCGGGGCCCTCGGTCGAACAAAGCATGAATCCAATAACACCGCTGCAAAAATTACAATTGTTCGGTTCATTATAAAAAAAAGTTGAAAAAACGCACACGGTGGAGGAGAAGTTGTTATAATGATACATACCTAGGGTACGTGGGAACAGTGGTCCAAGCGTAATTAACGGAGCCTTTGAAGATCTGGCGGCAGTTCGAGACTATGTCTTCGATTATGTGCATGTGAAGCCAAATGCTTTCGGCTTGAGTGCAGATAACTCCACCCGGGCGGAGAGCTTTGGCTACCGACTGAAAGAAGGGTTTTTCAAACAGCTCTTGTGCTGGACCTGAGTTATTGTTGCAATATACGAAACATTTCAAAATTTTGAAATCAAACTATAAAAGTAGTTGAAACTGCAATTCTATTGAGGTTAGATATGTTATACCTATTGGGTCAGAAGAATCTACGATAACTGCATCGTAAGTTCCCTCGGGCACAGCCTTGAGAAACGCAACTCCTGCAAAAATGAAATTCGAATTGCACGATTTAGTAAACGAGAATAAAAGATTTAAAATAAATAAAGAAAGAGTATTAGTAGATTATACCATCTCCAATGTGTAGTGTCACTCGAGGGTCTTCATACCCAACAGCTACCTTTGGGAAGAATTCCTTAGAAACCTGGAAAAAAGACTCGACGCGATTAGTTATCCAAGCTTTAAATGTATCTTAAAAAAAATGAAAAAAAGAGGGTTTGTATGTATATGTAAGTATTGGAATAACTCACGTCAACAACCATCTTATCGATCTCACAGATGTCTATCTTCTCAACAGAGGCGTGACGTGAAACTTCACGCAACACACCACCGTCTCCACCTCCAATTACCAAAACCTGAAAAAATATATTTCGAAATTCAGACCTCACACTAAGGTACGATAATTAACCGACAAATAAAAAATTCCTTTGCATTATACAGAACCAGACTTTCTAAAAGTGAGTGCATAAGCAATTTACAGAAAGTGGCAAATGTAGAAAAAATCCAAAAGGCCAGTTTCTCTCGATTATGATTCTTATCTCTGACCGTCGTACAGTTAAACATACGATAAGTGATAGTTCAATGGCTGGTGTTTCCTCACATCCCGACCATACGGAAAAACAAAGAACTTATTACGGATCGAGATACGAACTTCTTTTATTCGGTTCGCTTAAATTGTGCCTATATATTTTCTTTTGACTTCTATTATTCTGTAGAATCGGGGTTCGGAAGATGTCCTAAATTGTTTTTGGGATGTTCACTTAGTGAAAGATACCTTTTTTGGGTTAGGAATCGAGCAGAGTGGGAGGTGAGTGATCATTTCTTGATAAGCACATTCATCCCTCTCTGTGAGTTGAATTACACCATCCAAGACAAGAACCTTCCCGTAAGTAGATGACTGCAGCAGAAAAAATAGCAGAGAAGTTACGCTTTCAGCGCACACACACACACACACACACCCACACCCACACCCACACTCACACCCACACCCACACCCACACCCACACCCACACCCACACACAGTGGCTACAGAGGAAAAAAAACTGACGATGAAGATAATTTACTATCGAAAGCATCACGGACCTGAAAAACTATGACATTCTGGTAATCGGATTTTCCCTGAAATAATATTTTCTCTACTTTCAACGAGTGTGCTTCTCCTGCATGATTTCCGAAAAACAATTGTAATAAATAATCTCACATAGTTCCTGAACTGAGCCAGATAATGCAAACAACGAGAACCGGAAACATCTCTATATAAAAAACCATATAGCTAAGAGGAATTGCTTAATCAACTTCCGATTATGAAAATTGAAACGAAAAACAAGCAGATTGATGATGATTAGATAACAACAACTGCAACAAGTTTTTCCATTGGAAGTGATATATACACACATTGCCCTGTTTTGGAACTAACACGAGTATATCTAATTTCACATACACAAACTCTGCACTTATCAGGAAAAATAACGAAAAATCGTTACGGGTGAAAAGTTGATTCCAATTTGTTTATTCATTTCTTGATAACGTATATCTATAGACACAAATAAACAGAAAGAGCTCTTTCATTCTGATCTGTCAGGAAATAGCATTATATATAAATATATATAAAGTGTATTTTATATAATACGTCATTCGTACTCTAAATCAAATCTTTTCTTGAAACATGCCACAAATTTAAGCTTACAATTGAAGAGGAAAAAACCTCCCACCGTTTAAACCCTAGATTTCTATTAAATTCATCCACGAACACCAAAGAAAATATTGAAACAATCAACATATATATAGAAGTTCACACACAGAACCAAAAAATAAAATTAATTAACCAAAACCAAAAAATAAAAATAAAACATATATAAAAGTTTACACACAGAGACGAATCAGTTTCTCTACGTGCACAAAAAATGTGAAGGAAAAAAAAAACTAATTACCAGGCCACATTGGGCTGATTTCCGAAAACCATCCGGGAAGAACAGAGGACATGGATTCCGGTAGCTCCGCCGCCGCGCCGTTGTTCAATTCCATCTCGACTGAAACGCCGTCGTATTGGTGTATCTTCACTAACGCAGACGGACTCCTCCCCTCTGCGAAACCCTCTTGCTGACTACTTATACGAGTGGATATCTTCACGCAGTGAGGGTGTATGTGCGTGATTAATTGATTGATTGGAGAATCTGCTTACCAATGCAAATAAACCACTGTCAAGATTTTTTTTATTTTTTTTTATTGTCACTTTTGTCCTTTTATTATTTCATGAATATCTGTGCCACCCCTCAATCAAAACACTTGATTTACTAATTGATTAACTAAAATTAAAATAATTCAATTTTAGTCTTGGTAGGTGAGATTTTTAGATTATTTACTTAAATATTTGAATTTTTTTAAATATATATATATTTTAATGTAGGGTTATTGACTAACAATTTGTCCCATAAACTAGTACTCTCTTTATTCTATAATATCTGTCATTTGAAAAAAAAATTGTCACTTTACAATATTAATTTAACATTTTTTTTTAAATCAAGATATATAAATTAACATTTTAAAAAATCATGTAATTGAAAGCTGATAAACGACAGTTAATTAGATACCAATGGAGTATTAATTTTTTAGATGATTTGAATCTAAAGAATTTGAAGTGAATGATTTCAAAATTACAAATTTCAAGAATATTTTTGATTAATTTATTTGATTAATTATGAATTTGTAATGATTAAATAATCATGGATGCATTTTAAAATTAGTATTTTTTTTTTTTAAAAAAATTAAAAAAAAAATTAAAATTAGTAATTTAGTAATAGGTGGGATTGGAAAAGGCGGATTCCCATTGAGCAGCGCAATAGGGATATGATTGCGGCTCCTGATTAGGGTTTTCTTTTGAGGGGTTGATTTGTAAATTCGTCAAAGTGGGGGACCCTGGCAGAATATATATTTCGACAGTGATGAGTGTCCAATTATGTAAATTAGTATAACCATCAACTTGCTTAACTAAACATGTGTATCATTTTATATATATATATATATTTTTGTGCCACCACTATCATAAATATCTCATTAGAAAATATTTAAAAAAATAGTCTTGAAATAGTTAAAAGAGATTACAGCCAAAATAAAATAAAAAGTTAGCCACAAGTTGCACATCGAAATCAAATGCTGAAAGTTGCCGAAAGCCTAGTTGGTGTTGGCCCATAATGAGCCCATTTGAAATACCGATTAGAAATATTCAGTGCCAGAATCGGGCTGGGCATTGGTCGGTTTTATCGATTAACCGACCTATTTATTTTCGTCGATAAGTGATAATTAACTGACCAATATAGTTGGATTGATAATTTTGACCCACATGTATACAGTGGTGGAACCAGGAATTTATGATTGGGGGTCGAAGGTTTAAATGATATACTAAACGTTTACAAGGGGTCGAGCTCGAGGATAGTGCGTTTGAATTCTTTTATCGATATTTATAGAGAATATCACTAAATAATTAAATAGTTATTGACTTTAATAAGTGAAATACCATAAATATTGCTACAATGAATTCATTTTTGTTAAGTTTTAAAGAAAAAAATCCAAAAAAAAATGTTTTATTTATTTCTTTCGAACGTGATTCGATTGCTACAACAAACAATATTTTCACTAAAAGACAAATATCACTATACATTTCGAATTCTTCTCACTCATAGAATACTTTATTTATGTTACATAAATGATTTTTCATTAAAATAAATTAGATGGGCCTAGAAAAGTTATTGGGCTGGGCTTCATATAATTTGGTCAAAGAGGTACTATTATTTAATTTATTTTCTAAATTAATTAGAAGAAAAAAAAAAAAAAAAAAACACAGCCATCATTTTGGGGGTGCGATTAGCAGTGCCAGCTGAAGGGCGAAGAAGAAGACGATCCCTGTATAATTCGAAAAACAGGTGAGAAAATCGCCCCCAAAAGGCCCCTAATGGAGAATTAAAGGATCAATTATCTCCCTTGATTTTGAAAATTAGGTCTTCTCTCTTCGAAGTTGTGGCTAATTGGGAATTATAAAGCTGCGAAGCAATCGTCGAGTGTGGAATGGCAATTAGGAATATTCTCGAAACTTCCAGGAAATTTGGGGTAAAGCCGGACGATGTTTTCAGGTACGTGAGCAATTTCAAGGGTTTAGGGTTTACCGAGGGCACAATTTCTAGGGTTTTAGAAACCTCACCTAGGTCAATCATATTAAACGAGGCCGAAATTCGAAACAAAGTCGATTTGTTGACGAAAATTGGAGTTCACAGAGGAGAAATCGACAGAATATTCTGTTCATTTCCCGGAATTCTAGCATTTGGGGTGCAAAACAGATTGAAGCCCTTGCTCGACGAATTTCGACATTTGGGCTTTTCGCCGAATGAGGTTAGAAGAGAGGTTGTCAGAGAACCGAAAGTTCTTGGGCTCGAAAACGGGGAGCTCTCACATTGTGTAGAAATGCTAAGGACTTTAAAATGCAGGGCAGCGATTAAAGATCAAATTTTTCGAAACGGGGAATTTAGGGCAGGGTACGAAGCGAAGCTGAGAATCGATTGCTTGAGAAAACACGGGCTGATATATAGAGACGCGTTCACGGTGTTGTGGAAGGAGCCAAGGGTGATTATTTACGAAGTGGGTGATATCGAGAAAAAGATTGCGTTTTTGGTTAATACGATGAAGTTTGACGTTCGATGCATTGTTGAAGTTCCGGAGTATTTAGGGGTGAATTTCGAAAAACAGATTGTTCCTCGGTTTAATGTGATTGAATATTTGAGGTCGAGCGACGGGCTTGGAGATGAAGTAGGTTTGAGAAACTTGGTTAAGATGAGTAGATTGAGGTTTTATAATATGTATGTGAAGCCGTATCCGGAATGTGAGAGGATGTACGGGAGGTTTTGTGGAGATGTTGTAGTTGGGAACGGGAATCGGAATCGGAGTCAACATCCCATTGGAATGTGGAAGCTCTTCAAACCGGAACCTTATCCGGAATCGGATGACGATGTTGGGAATATCAAGTTGTATATGGAATCATTGCATCAAGATAATATGGAACATTGTCAAGGTGTAAAGAAAGTTGAGAAGAAGTGAAACAATATATATATATGAAATTACTTTGCGACTTTCTTTTTGAGTTTTGGTCTTTGTGTGTGGTGATTCTAATTTCGACATTCTTGAATTACTTTTAATTTTTTTAATTTACCAGAAAATTACTTTTGAAATCGTATATATATATATATATATATATATATATATATATATATATATCAAGTAGCTGTGTATTTTGTTCTTGATAACATTTAAGTCTGTGCATTTCTCCCCCTTTCTCGTGCGTGTGACATAAAGGTTTTATTTTTTTTGAATGAAATAGGAAGTTGTCGTGTTTGAACTCTTTATTTTCCTTTCCTCGGTTGATACAGACCATGCGAGGATTTCCGGGAGAAGCACATAGGTAAGAAGAAAGCGGGAGTATCAACGATCTTTTAGAACATTATTTTATGTATTTTTCCATTTTATGTAATACTTCTTGTTCTTTCATTAAATTTTTGCAATCAATTATTTAGGGTTGCTCCGTTTGCGAAGAAGGATTGGTATGACGATAAAGCTTCATCTGTTATTTATAATTATGTACTTACTTTTATCATTATAGTTTTATTTTCATTAGTGGAATGGTCATGTCTTGTTCAGCTTATGTAAGTGCTTTTATGTGTTGTCTCTTTCTGGAATGAAACTTCGGCATAAGTTATTTGAGTTAATGAGGTAACAACGGCACCACGCCACGCATGGTGCTGTATAAAAATCTGAAAGCAATCTTCGATAATTAATCTGAAGTTTCATTTTCCGCGCCAGGATTTTTCCCTTCAGTTTATGATTTGTTGATTTTAGGCATCGCATTTGTTTTTCTTGTGATATTCGGAAGATTTTATTTCAATGGTACTGCTCTGTTTTTCCTACCTGGTTTGTCATTCGTGTGTGGCTCCGATTCACATTTTCTTTTCCCTTTTTTTTTTTTTTCTCCTTTCTGCTTCTTTCGAGTCCCATTATATGTAACGGACTATACTTCCGGACTTAACCTCGCTCCATACATTATTGTTGTGGGTGATATATGGGGAAGATGAAATTGGCTGTTGTTTCTCTTCGGTTTACAGAAACGTTTATCATTTTCTTTTCTTGCAGTAATTTTCAACTAAATTTTCTTATTACTTAGTGGAAATACATTGACTGCAGATCTGCTCATGTTGTCGTGTTCTATGATGACATGGAAATCTTGTCCGATAATCAAACTGGGATTGCCGTAAAAGAGAATTGACTTGTTCAATTTGAGGCGATGAATAATACGGAAGTGAAAAACGTGCAGGATTTGGAGGATTTGGAGGATTTGCAGAATGCCTTGGCAATTCTTTATCAGAAAAGGCAACAACTGGTAATGTTTTTTTTCTTTTTTTTTTCAGTTTAAATGGATTAAATTTATAATGTAATAAGTATCGTGTCGTAATTTATATTTGTCGCGGCAGTGTTCTCAAATCTGCTCTATGGAAGATGAGTGTGCGTTATATGAAGATCACATTAAACGAACAAGGGGCCATACGCCATTTTTTCAGTCTCTTTTATCTTTTGTCGATTTTCATTTTCTTTTAAATAAATAAATTGAAATTTGTATATTTCGATAGGTGGTGAAGTCTGGTTCTAGCTCGTAAATGTATTGGATCAATCCTAACTGGGAAGAGTCATTTGCTGCTGAGAATGAAAATCACGACACCGTAAATCCACAAGCAAACAAAATCAGCTGACATTTTTCTCCCCGGTAGATCTTCATGTCAAGTAAGTTATTATGTTCCAATAAAAAATTGTTTATTTAATTTTTTTTTAAATAAATAAATAATTAAATTAAAACAACGTGTATTATATTCTCAGGACTTGGAGTATATATGCGTGAAGAATTATTGGAGGCTGACGAAATATTTTGTCGCACATCAAATGGTAACACGATAAATTTCGTTCCTTGTCAAAAAAACTAAGCTGATGAATTCGTGTGATATATATTATATCGATTTTTAGGGTGCATTTTTTTTTCTTTTTTTTACGATTAGGTAAAATTTGTGTCGAATGTGGCAATGGGAAGTGACGATTTGAAGTTGTCTATGGAGGGTGGTGTGGGGTCCACTCCCTTAGAAACAAGGGAATTCGCTGGTGCACAAATGATTGTCAAAATACAAACTCCTTTCTGTGTTAAAGAAAGCTGATTAATTAGGATTAAAGGCTACCTGAATGACAGCGCGTGCGATGCAAAATAGGGACCAAAAATCGTAAAAATTGATCGATTTGTTGATATTTAAGATTTATTTTAACATTTGAATCGACGTAGATATGAATGAATTGAATCGTATTGTAAATCATAAGGTTTTGGATATTGAAAGAGTGATGCACTTTGGGGTCAAATTTGCAATTTGAGTTGAGGGTAGGAAGATGGAATAAGTATAGGGGTGATTCTGCAATTTTCAGAACTGTTGGAGCCTAGGGAGGGGGATTTTCAGATATTACAAATTGACCTCCACTTGGGGGCATTTCCAGTTTAAGGACCAAAATTAAAAATGGTATATAATATTGGGACAAAAACTCGTTATTATCACAAGTTTATCATAAATAATATAATAAATTAAAGTTTTCTCTAAATCGTAAATCGTAAAATTTTATCGATTTGTTGATATTTAAGACAATAAATCCACTTCCCCGACTGAAACAGTTTTGAAAATTGCAGAATCACTCTTATACTTACTCCATCTTTCCAGCCGCGCTACCCAAATTGTAAATTTAACCTAAAAGTGGATCTCTCTTGCAATATTCGAAACATCCACCACCAACGCAGTATGCTTCGACTCCTCAACTATAATCGTGTGTGACTTCATTTACGAAAATTCTCAATATCGAGTTTAAATCTTATGATTTACGATTCATTTACGAAAATTCTCAATATCGAGTTTAAAATTTTATGATTTACGATTCAAATCTTACGATTCAATTAATTAATTTCTAAGTCGATTCAAAAGTTAAAATAAATCTTAAATATCAACAAATTTTACGATTTAGGAAAACTTTAAATTATTATATTATTTATAATAAACTTGTGATAATTACAGTTTTTGTCTTCATATTATGTACCATTTTTAACTTAATAATATACCATTTTTTAATTTAGTTCTTAAACCGGAAACGCCCCCAAGTGGGGGTCAATTTGTAATTTACACCTACCTGACTGATACAATTTTTGAAAATTGCAGAATCATCCCTATACTTACTCCATCTTCCCAGCCGCACTACCCAAATTGCAAATTTGACCCCATATTGGATCTCTATTGCAATATCTGAAATATTCGCCACCAATACAGTATGCTTCGACTCCTCAGCTATAATCGTGTGTGACTCATTTACGAAAATTCCCAATACCGAGTATAAAATCATATGATTTACGATTCAAATCTTACGATTCAATTTGTTCATACCTAAGTGGATTCAAAAGTTAAAATAAATCTTAAATGTCTTAAATGTCAACAAATCGATCAAATTTTACGATTTAGAAAACTTTAATTTATTATATTATTTATAATAAACTTGTGATAATTACAGTTTTTGTCTCTATATTATATACCATTTTTTATTTTGGTCCTTAAACCGGAAATGCCCCCAAGTGGAGGTCAATTTGTAATCTCTGAAAATCCACCTCCCTGCCTCAAACAGTTTTGAAAATTGCAGAATCACCCATATACTTACACCATCTTCCTACCCGCTCCACCCGAATTGCAAATTTGTCCCCAAAGTGGATCTCCCTTTCAATCCAAAATACCAGCCACGTTTACGAGAATTCGCAATACCGAGCATAAAACCTTATGATTTACGATTTAAATCTTACGATTCAATTCATTCATATCTATATAGACTCAAATGTTAAAATAAATCTTAAATATCAACAAATCAATCAATAAATCTTACATATATATATATGAAATTACTTTGTGGCTTTTCTACATTCTTGAATTACATTTAATTTACCAGAAAATTACTTTTGAAATATTGGAAATATGGCTAATTCATTTAAGAATTTGTTGTTATATTATCGGGGAAATTACTTTATAGTAAACGATAATTTTTTTCTCATGTGATGCATGGGGTATGATTTAAAAAAATGATTAATTTAATAATTGCATGACAATTAAAATTATAATAAGAAATATATTGGGAAAAATACAGTTTTTTGTCCCAAAAATTAGTATCGATTTCACATTTGGTACATTATGTTCACAAATCACATTTGGTCCCTTATGTTTTATACTTTGAGTTATTTTCATTAATTTGCCATTAAAACTAACGAAATGAAGTGTTTCATCAATGACTTAACTGACAGACTAAAGGAAAATTGACGGAAATGACCAAAACTGTTACATTATTGAACCATATGGGACCAAATATGTTTTTTTGTGAACATAGAAGACCGAATGTGAAATATGTGTAAACTTGAGGGGTGAAAACTGTAATTATTCCGACATATATTCTACTATCAATATAAAGTATTAATTAAAATAAATTGCAAATATAGGAGATTATGGCCGAAAATTGGAGCTAAATATTTTAGCATGATAAAAAAAAGAAAATACAAAAATGCCACTACGGTTTTTTCGGTTGAGGGGTTAAGTGCTATTTACCTTCGGAATTTGATCTACACCGAAATATAGGAAGCCCAAATGTAACGAGGTACAAGTGGTCAAGGCCCAAAAACAAATGAGGCCCAAATATAATAAGGTACAAGTGCTCAAAGCGCGACTGTGCTTCCATTATCTTCTTCACCTCTCCCAAGTTTTTGAAAAGAGGCGAACTCAGAAGTACTGCCAACAGTAAAAAAAAAAAAAAAAAAAAAAAAAAAGGAAGGGCAACCTGAAACTAACAAAGCACAACCTATATTGAGAGAGAAAGAATCTGACAAGCTACTTCTTATCCAACTCAGGTAACTGGGCTTTCAAATAGTTCCTAAATGTGTTCGAGAAAATGCCTCAGAGAATTTTTCTTCAAGTGTTTCACTTTTCTGTGCGATTTCCCAACTTAATTTGAGCTCACGTATTTTTCTCAGGTGCTCGCTTTCGGTGTATCAAGAAATGATTTTGCTTTCTTGTAGTAGTAATCACTGCTCTCTGAGCTCCAATGTTATGGCTTCCGCCGCTGCACCTTCAACGATTTTGAAGAGTTCGTCCATCTTTCCGCATCTGGTCAGTTTTTTTATGTGGTAAAATTTGGATTTCCATTTCAGTTTCTTCTTGCTTGATTGTTGGTACTTGGTACAGGGATGGGGAAGAAGAAGAAGAAGCTGCAATTTGCCTAGTATTAATCGCGGTGTATCGAAATCCACCGTTGCTTATTACGGCCTGAGAAGCCCACCGTACAAACTTGTGAGATTGCTTTCCTCGTTGGCATCTTGATTACATACGTAGTTCTTATAGTTGATGAACTGAAATTCTCGAAGAAAATAGAATGTGATGTTATTCACTTTCTTTCGCTTGTTCGTTTTAGGATGCACTAGAACCGTACATGAGCCAGAAAACACTCGAAGTGCATTGGGGTGCTCACCATCGTAATTACGTAGAAGCCCTTAACAAACAGCTCGAGAAAAATGATATACTCTACGGATGTACGCTCGATGAGCTGATCAGACTGACGTATAACAATGGCAACCCGTTACCTGAATTCAATAATGCAGCTCAGGTAATCGTTGCTCGTATATATATATATATATATATATATATATATATATATATATATATATATATATATATATATATATATATTTGTCAAGTAGGTCTGTATTTTGTTCTTGATAACATTTAAGATAACAAGGAATCAATGTTATGAATTCCGATATTTACAGGACATTCTTTCTGAAACACGAGTATCTATTGTAACACGTTCCAGATTATACTTGAGCCATATTGCATAATAAGCTTCAGACTTCAAAGATATTTATTAATTTTTTTTTTTTGCAACATAGCTGTTTTTGGGAGAGAAATCTACTTTCTAGAAAGTAGCGTTTGCATTTTTTGAAATCGTGTAAATATTTTAACTTTAATTCACGATATAGCATTTCTAAAGGGTTTGTTCTGCCATCTTATATACACGCTCGTGTTTTCAGGTCTGGAATCATGACTTCTTTTGGGAATCAATGCAACCGGGAGGCGGTGAAATGCCGAAATTAGGTCTACTTGAGCAGATAGAAAAGGATTTTGGTTCGTTTGACAACTTCAAAGACAAATTCATTGAAGCAGCTCTCACTTCATTCGGATCCGGCTGGGTTTGGTTGGTCTGTAAGTCATCTCTGCCCGTTGAAATGTTTTAAAATTTCGAACAGGATTTTGATTGATTTAAAACTTCACACAATTTTAAGTGCCTTTTGCGAGAGTAAGCACACTTAATAAATTACCCTTCAAACTTGTCAATTTCTTTTAGCTCGATTCATGTTACTTTTCGTTGTTGTGAATGTTTTGCGAAAGATTAAATAAGGAATTACTGGGCGACACAAAATGGTTATGAACTTTCACTAATTTCTGTATTTTGAAATTGTTACAGTGAAGAGGGAGAAAAGATGCCTTGCGATTGTTAAAACATCCAATGCAATCAATCCTCTCGTGTGGAACGATATCGTAAGAAGCTTCTATATTTCTCTACTCTTTTTTATACCCATTGGCACCACGACTTTCTTCCTTTTCGACATTTTAACCATCTCCTAATTATTGCAGCCAATAATCAGTTTGGATTTGTGGGAGGTATTCTCTCTCTCTCTCTCTCTAGATCTCTCTCTCTCTCTCTCACACACACACACACACACACACACACACACACACACACACACACACACACACACACACACACACACACAGTGCTCAAATTTTTGTATCTAGCCGAGTTGATTGATTGTTCTTGTTGGTTTTGCAGCACGCGTATTATTTGGATTACAAGGTGGTAGCTCGGCATTGTTCATTTTTCGTACTTATTACATATCCTTCCATTATCACATCCATGTTTTCATAAATTCGTTTATTATTATTAATGGCTGTCGTTTGATACTACAGAACGATAGAGCAAAGTACGTGAACACGTATATGAACCACCTCGTATCGTGGAACGCAGCAGCAGCACGCATGGCTCGTGCGCAGGCTTTTGTCAACTTAGGCGAACCCAAAATCCCAGTTGCTTGATCAGATATAGATAGTCAGTTACTACAAGCAAGAAAATTCTCACACTTGGTAGTACAAAAAGAAATGGAAGATAGTAGTAAGGGTGTAGTTGTAATTTAATATTCCTTTTCTTTTAAATGGTTATTAACCAATTTATGTACTTGAATTTTGTTTCAATTTTGCTGCTCATTTATTTTGAATATTAATATTAATTTTGAATGTTTAATTTTTGAATATTATTGAAATAGGGTATAAAAATCACTTTTTTACATTCATATATAAGATAAGTGAAAATTACTTTTAATACTTTATAATAAATAAATAAACAAATAAACTCACGGAGAGCACCCTAATATTTTAATATTTTTGTTCCGACCCGCCGGTGTAAGTTATACAGTCACCGCCGCAAACTTGGAAGTTGCTGCTGCCTGCTCCGCCGCACTGGGCTGTTCGCATATTTTCGCCCCACCGCCACCGCCAACGTCACCGCCACCGCGCTGCTGCCGCAGTACCTACCGTCAGGTGATTTTTATATTTGAAGCAAAAAATTTATGTTCATTTGGCAGCAACAACTTTTGTCTGGGTAATTGATGTTCATGCGTCGGTGTGTGTGTGCTCTTCTCTGTAAATTGGATTAGGGTTTTGATTAATAATCGCTTCTGAATTTGAGCTCTGCTGGTTTTGGTACTATTTGAAACTGCGTCGCGTTGTAAGCCAGATGTTTTCCCTGAATTAAACGTCGTCGTATTGCACCAATTTGAAAATTGGGAAATTAGAAGAACAAGCTCTGCTTTTTATTGACAAAGGAAAACCCTACTTGCATGATGCTATTCGGTATCGAAACGTTTCGATTCTAATCGAACTTCCGTAATGTTTTCGATCCATCGTTTCTAACTTGTGCTATCTCCAGGAATGTCATTTCCAATGCATCTCTACGCTGAACTGGCGCCTTGTCTTTCGTCACTAATATTTCGCTCCTCTGCAATTACTTCAGGTCTGAAGTAAATTCCACCGTAACTTATCCAAGTTTGCTTCTTCGAGACGACTCAGTAAACACCCGAGGCTCGATTAATTTTTTTTTTTTTTTCTGAGGAAGGCTTTGTTTCATTTTACTTCTCTAGAAAAATGACAGAAATCTTCAGCTTCACAGCATGCAGACAGCTTCTGCAACTGTTGTTTGCCGTACTCTTTTTCCACTGCTCCGAATACATCCTCGCAATTTCCGTTCACGGCAAAAACAGCGTCAACCTCAAATCTCTACTAATCAGCCAAAAGTACGTATTCGCAATGGTCTGTTCCTTGATCGAGTACCTCATCGAAATCTATTTCTTCCCGGAGATAAAAGAACACTGGTTACTGAGCAACACCGGCCTCGCACTAGTGGTGGTCGGAGAAATTATTCGGAAATTGGCGATAATAACAGCTGGCAGATCCTTCACTCATCTTATAAAAAGATTCCACGAGGAGCATCACGTATTGGTTACTAACGGAGTTTACAAGTACATTCGACATCCGAGTTACTGTGGCTTCTTCGTCTGGTCTGTGGGTACTCAAGTAATGCTCTGTAATCCAGTTTCTGCAGTTGCATTTGCTGTAGTTGTTTGGAATTTTTTCCGAACGAGGATTCCGTACGAGGAGTTTTACTTGAGGCAGTTTTTCGGTTCCGAGTACGAGGAATACGCTAGACAGGCTGCTTCCGGAATCCCGTTTATCAGGTGATGTCACCTTTGTAATCTTGAAATGGTGTTCTGAGAGAAGATGCCTTTTTTAAAACATGGTTTGTGATTGCAAGTGGTGGATTCTATTCTCTCTGTTACTAATTCTATGCATACAAATATTTTATTATTATTAATAAAATAATAATTTATTTTATTTTATTATTATTATTTTTCTTTTGAGGAGGATAAGATAATTGTTTAAGCTAAAATTAAAATGAGTGAAGTACAATTAAACAGCTAAGCTAGTTCACGTGGTTGTAATCTTTAGCTATCTTCATAATCGTTGACCTTATTTAAGATCTTTTTTAAAAGAAATCGGATTATCCAATTCTAGATTAACTCATTAAGATATTTTAATGTTTAATATTTAATATTTAATACGTGAAAAGCATCATTTTCAATAAATAGGGGCTGATTGATATTTTATCAATAATACAAGGGGGTACAGTGATAGGCTCATAGCTATCAATTACAACTTAAAAGTAGAAGGGGCTAAAGTAAGATTAACTTAGAGTAGAAGGGGTTAATTACAATTTATCCAAAAAAAAAAGAAAATAATATATTGAAATTCACAATCAAATCATGTGACGTGTCAACGTAACTCCAAGAAAAATTGGAATATCTTATAATAATAATTCAATCCTACCACCTTTTTATGTACAACTTTTTCTCCTACCTTGTTCACATACTTTTTTTGGTGCTCTCTCTCTCCCCTCTCTCTCTCTCTCTCTCTCTCTCTCACACTAAGCACACTGTGTATCCATCCATATCTACTACACACTTACTTTGACATTTACACCCTTATCCATTTTTATACTTTGTTCTCTTATATATAATATATACTTATATGGTAGTGATTCATTAGTGATTGTTTTTGTCACCATTTTTGTACTGTAGTGAAATTTCCGATGGCTGCTCGCAGAATTTCATCTCTTCTTTCTCGCTCCGCTCCTTTGCTTTCTCGTCGAGGTATTAATTTTTTTTTGATTTATTAAACCAATTATATTTTCAGTGATTTGATTTATCCAGTGATTGATTTATGTAGCAGAAGCCACATATTCGCAAGAACAGGGTTTCTTGATTTTTCCCCATTTTTTAATTTGAAAAATAAATTAATTTTTAATATCATGTGTTTTTGCACCTGGGTTTTGAAAAGATACCATTTTTATGTATGTACTGTGATTCTTTATTTAAGTAAGCATGCACAGGTCTCTGGATATGTTTATCTTTTATGAATCCTTTTAATTTTACCTTCCTTTTTTTTTTTATGAAATTAATTTCTGATCTGTTGCATTAATTGCTCCAGTTTTCTCTTACCAGCCCCCAATTTTCTTGGAACTGAGTGATCTCTGTGTAGAATTTATTGTGTTGCAATTTGCAAAAGTTCAAATCTTTAATCAGTTTTCTCTTGTCGTAATCGATTCTATTCGTCTCGATTTAATCGAATCGAGCTACACGATGATGTGTTGTATTTAAAAAAAAATTGAGATTTTGGAGATTAGTATTCAGAAGCCCTATGTATTGATTAAACAAGATGTGATTTAGTACCTAATTTTGCAATAAATTTGTATAGGAAAACAATCTTACACGAGCAGAGGAATCTTCCGGTACACCACGGCGGCAGCAGCTCTCGAGGAACCGATCAAGCCACCAGTCAACGTGAAGTACGATAAGCTTCTAATCAACGGACAATTCGTGGACGCTGCATCAGGTAAAATTTTCCACCATTTCTTTTTTTCGTACATATTCGAGAAAATTTAAATTCCCTGTCCTAACTCGTAAAAAATCGCATTTGTTTAATCAGGAAAAACTTTCCCAACTTTGGATCCAAGAACTGGAGAAGTAATCACACACGTTCCCGAAGGCGATGCAGAAGATATCAACCGAGCAGTATCAGCTGCTCGTAAAGCTTTTGACGAAGGACCGTGGCCCAAAATGACTGCCTATGTAACTAACCATAATACATTTATAAATAACTACATAGCGGTTAATTATTTATAATTATTTATACGAATACTTACTTGCAGGAGAGGCAGAGAATATTGCTTCGATTTGCGGATTTGGTCGAAAAGCATAACGATGAAATAGCAGCATTAGAGACGTGGGATAGTGGGAAGCTGTTTGAGCAGTGTGCTAAAATCGAAGTGCCTATGTTTGTTCGGCTTTTTCGATACTACGCAGGTTGGACAGATAAGATTCATGGGATGACTATTCCAGGCGATGGACCACATCATGTTCAAACTTTGCACGAGCCGATCGGTGTTTGTGGTCAGATTATACCGTGGAATTTTCCTCTTGTGATGTTTGCTTGGAAAGTGGGGCCCGCACTTGCGTGTGGTAATACCATCGTTCTCAAAACGGCAGAGCAGACTCCTTTGTCTGCACTTCTTGTATCGAAGCTATTGCACGAGGTTTAATTAATTATTATTTTTTTTTTTAATTTAATCTGGTAAGTGCAGACGTTGGATTTGAATTTTTTTTTTTTAAAATAAAATGGATTTTGACAGGCTGGACTTCCGGATGGTGTTCTGAATATTGTTTCGGGATTCGGTCCGACAGCTGGCGCCGCCCTTTGCAGCCATATGGATGTGGACAAGGTAGTTCTTTCGTGGCTTTTTATGTTTATAACGAGATTTTGTACAAACTAGTAAACGGTGTATGATTAGACTGCACATTACATGTTGATTAATCTGATCTTGTAATTGCAGATTGCTTTCACTGGTTCAACCGAAACCGGCAAAATTGTTCTCGAGTTGTCTGCCAAAAGCAATCTGAAGCCAGTTACTTTGGAACTCGGAGGAAAATCGCCTTTTATCGTCTGTGAGGATGCTGACGTGGACAAAGCTGTTGAGCTAGCACACTTCGCTCTGTTTTTCAACCAGGTTACTACTCCCTCTCCATCAGTTAAACCCAATTTCCGGATTAATCTTATTAACATCTTCACAATATTCATACGCCACTTGTGTAGGGACAATGCTGCTGTGCTGGCTCAAGAACATACGTGCACGAAAAGGTTTACGATGAGTTTTTGGAGAAAGCAAAAGCACGGGCCTTGCAACGGGCCGTGGGCGACCCGTTTAAGTCGGGTATGGAGCAAGGCCCTCAGGTACTTTACCTTCACTGAAATAAACATTTTTCAGCAAAGAATTATGATTTCTACTACACTGTAAATTTGATGTGTGAATTTTTTTTTCTTCTGAATTTTAGATTGATTCTGAACAATTCGAAAAGATCCTTAAGTATATTAGATCCGGTACGGAATCTGGAGCCACCCTCGAAACTGGAGGCGATAGGTTAGGTACAAAGGGCTATTATGTTCAGCCAACTGTATTCTCTAATGTCAAGGTAAAGACTCAATTTTGTTTTTATTATATTTTTACTTTATATTACTTTTTTTGTAAATCTTCTCTTGCTAATGCAGTAGTTTATTGATTTTTTGTTTTTTTACAGGATGACATGCTTATTGCAAAGGACGAGATCTTCGGCCCCGTGCAGACTATCCTAAAATTCAAGTACGCCTGCAAAAATTCTTGCGCATATGCTATCGAAACTGATATATTTTTTTTTATAATTTAGTAATAACTTTAATTTGCTAAATGCAGTGAGCTTAACGATGTGATTAAGAGGGCGAACAACACAAGGTACGGTCTTGCAGCGGGAGTATTCACTAGTAATCTCGACACGGCCAATACGTTGACGAGAGCATTGAGAGCTGGTACAGTATGGATTAATTGCTTCGATACTTTCGACGCCACAATTCCTTTCGGTGGATATAAAATGAGCGGAATCGGAAGGGAAAAGGGAGAATACAGTCTCAAGAACTACTTACAAGTCAAAGCCGTCGTCACTGCTCTAAAAAATCCAGCTTGGCTGTGAATTTCTGCTTCAATAAATCGGATTGCAAAAGTTTCGTGAATTAGATATATGATGACGAACGACGAATAAAATAATTTCACCCTTTTTTTTTTTTCCTGTACTTGATAATATCAACTATTTCGCAATGTATGCATTTGAATGTTGAAATCATATTCGGACGGAAAATCGGTTCTTTCTTTCTTACACAGCCTGAAATGAAAAATCAAGAGACCTAACTCTTTGCGAAATACGGTGAGCTTTCTCCAACGCCGCCACGACTCTTCCCATAGACAGCCGGTGTTGCTTAAGCCCACTACACGACAAAGCCACCTTAAACACCAACTCAAACGACTCAACGGAATATTCTCCGTTCAGTTTTCCGTCGGCAAATTCCGTTATAACCCCTCCTTTTCTCAGATTCTTTACCTAAAAACAAAATCAACAAAATAAAAAAAACGATTTTTTTTTTGAACTAACTAAAAATTTGCCTACCATTTTACTCAAAAGGCATTGGTTTGTTGACATTCATATTAATAACCCTCTGCCCAGATAAAAGCTGCAGAAGCACTATTCCGAAGCTGTAAACATTGGTCGAAGGATGTACGCGTCAGTTCTTTTGGTATTCCGGGTCCACATAACCGAATGTTCCTCTTACCTCAGAGCTCACGTACGAATTTCCCATGCAAATCACTTTCGATAATCCGAAATCCGATAGCTTTGCTTCGAAGTTTGTTCCGAGAAGTATGTTTGTCGGCTACCAAAAAAAAAAAAACCACTGGAAATTTTCATCTAGTCTCGTATTTCTTTTAATCTTCACTTAGGAAAATAGTTACCTTAATATTGCGATGCACGATGCAGCCTTCGGTGTACGTGTGGAGAAACCAGAGTCCTCTTGCGCAGTCGATTGCAATTTCGAGTCTTTGGATCCAATTCAGAAACTTATGTTTACCTTTTTCATCCGAAAAAAAAGTAGTTATCATATCAAATAGTTTTTTAACATTGTATGTATATATAATATATACATATATCATATATGTGTATGCATATGAGGATATACATACCGAATAGCCATTCTGAGAGGTTTCCATTGTTGCAAAGCTCGTAAACAACAAGGCTTTCATCTTCACCATCACAATTGCCTAACAATTCGACGGGATTTGGATGCTTGACATGCGATAGGTGATAAGTGTTCGTTTTGCACGATTTTTGCTTATCAATTCTTCGAATTTTGGTCTTCGTTCGTCTGAGTTTTCGGCTTTATTTGTATATATTATGTTTTTTTTTGTTTTTTTTATATTTTAGGTAAAGAGAAGCTATTTTTGCCGATTCGAAACGATTTTGGAAGCGAAGCCCAAAATCAAACCAAACACGTGCAAAAGTGCATTATCGCGGGTGTGACACTGTTTCGTATTTCAAGCATAACTATTGCATACGACCTCCGATTGAGCTGATTCAAGTGGCCTTAGAAAGCTAACTTCAAGATCTACAACTTTTGAGAAATGCAAAATTGTCAAATTCGGGCTAGAAAAGGGTCAAAACAGTGTTTGAAGTTGGCGCAGAAGACCAGATCGCGATCCAGCCTTTCTGGATCGCGATCTGGGGGGTCTTACAGAGAGCAAATTGGGGTCAGACTCAGATCGCGATCCAGCCTTCCTGGATCGCGATCTGGGGGGGTCTCACAGTACATTTTTTTGATGAAGAACCAGATCGCGATCCACCATTCCGTATCGCGATCTGGAAAGGCGGTGCGCAGTTTCCAAGGCTGCCAGATCGCGATCCAAGAAGCCCAGATCGCGATCTGGGCACATAATTCGAGACGAGATAATTTTCAATGATTTCTTACTATAAATAGGAGGCCTCTTATTCATTTTAAATAATCTCGACCAACTCTCAATTATCTCTCGACTTGTTCTTCGGTTTTCTCTTCGGTTCTCGCCAGTTCTTCGCGGGAAGCTTCGACGAGGGTTTCGACTCGGGTTTTTCATAAGCTTTTCTTTACGTTTAGTTTATAATTTCTCGTGTTCTTCATTTTGATGATATATTTGTAATGAACTGAGCATTTTTTTTAGGGAAATGAAACCTTGTATATATTGATTTTGATTTCCAGATCTGTGATCTATTTGTCGTTCTTTGATTATGTTTATGTTTTCCTGTATTAAATGCTTTCGATTGTTTGGCCAACAGTTGAATTGATTCTAAATGGGAATGAACTCGTGAGAGGATTTCTTGTTTGATTTTAGGAAAGCATAGCTCGGGTTGTGGAAACGGAGACGTGATGCACCTCGGGTAGCCATTAAGGACTTGACCTAAATGCTCTCTTAATATCAGGTTCTGAACGGAGACGTCGGACCTGTGGGTAAACTCTAACTACACTGGTGACGGGGGTTAGGGTACTTTAGTGTCTGGGTTAGCGAACATAGAATTGACAATAGATTCGGATTTGTGGATCTTTATCGATAGTATACTGGTGGATTTTACCCTAGAAGCCATCGCACGTCGGAATTCCTTGCTTGTCCTGGCGGACCGTTGTTTTTATTTATTGTTTCTTTTTGGCTTCATGTCATCTCCCATCTTTTTCTCCCGTCTAGATAAAGTTTATGATAGTATAATTACGGTACTTGGTAGATTTAGGAACTTAATTCCCTGTGGATCGATATCTGGAATTCATTATTCTGCAAAACGCGATATTGTACACTTGCGGTTTTTTATACGTATGTTTTACGCGTATCAATAGGCTCGTGACTTCTCTTACTGATGTGCTAAGCTTAGTCACATACAATTATAGGAGTTTCCCATTTTTATTTTATTCAGTAAATTACTAGATTTGGTCATGGGTTTGAATATTCATACCTTGTGTGTATATGAGGTCACTTAATAATGTAACTAAGATAGATTTTGTTTAGATTTTTTTTCCCTGTTTCTTACCCTTGTTTGAAACATCGGAAACCACGTAAACCCGAAAACCGAAACTTTCTAATTTTTCTTCGGTCTTTGAATGTTTTTGTACTGCTTGTAAGCCAAAATTTGATTTCCTCGTTCGTTTTTTTCCCTGTTTCTTACCCTTGTTTGAAACATCGGAGTAAACCCGAAAACCGAAACTTTCTAATTTTTCTTCGGTCTTTGAATGTTTTTTCATTTTTTGTACTGCTTGTAAGCCAAAATTTGATTTCCTCGTTCGTTTTTTTCCCTGTTTCTTACCCTTGTTTGAAACATCGGAAACCACGTAAACCCGAAAACCGAAACTTTCTAATTTTTCTTCGGTCTTTGAATGTTTTTTCATTTTTTGTACTGCTTGTAAGCCAAAATTTGATTTCCTCGTTCGTTTTTTTCCCTATTTCTTAAATCGATCTTTTTCAGCCTATTCAGTCTAATAATGATGAGCTGGATATCGTGTTTGATATGAACTTTCTCAACATTAATTTAATTAGGGATTTTTTATGTTGTAATTTTTGAACTTATTATTTCACTTTTTTATTTCGTTTCGTGATATTTTTTTTCAGGCTGATTACATCGAGCCTACTCCATCGTAGGCTACTCCGATGGAATATTTTCCGGAAGGGCTCGTGGTACTTGTTTTTTAAGTTTTTGCAACTATTTACTTTTTCGATACAAAAGGAAAAATTATCGTAACTTGTTTTTATTTTTGCCCATATTTGCAGAATTTTTTTCTTAATGAAGACTGATTTTTTAATTCTTGGATGATTAAAAATGACTTGAGGCTATCCTATTTACACAACTCCACATCCTTAAGGAACGAAGTGATCATCTTAATCTAACGACTAAGAATTACTACGATTTCCTACCAAATATATACAACTTAAAGAAGGATTCTAGAAGATCTTCTACAATCTTCTAAGGATCTCTACATATAAAGAAAGATTCTAGAAGATCTTCTAAAATATCATCCAAAAATTTCTGCACTTGCGCGTAACTGAATCATCTTCCATTTGACTTGCTTGAGGATTAACTTTAATTCTTCACTCTATGAAAAAATAAGCAGATCGTAACAATAGACTGAAGTGGGGACTACTAACAATCCTTCAAAAATATTAACTCTATAAAACAATAAATACTTCATGTTGGTAATTGAATCATACTCCATTTATCATATTTTTTGTTGCATGCAAATTATCTCAATATATATATATTATGCTCTTAATCTATATACATATGTCAATGGCATAACATGATAACAATATCTAAATTATGTCAAGCTTTTTTTAGTTGAAAACCACTTTTAAGTATATAGGATAACAACAAACAGTTTGTATGCATTATGCATATGGAAATTTCCATAATGTAAGAGTCGATAAAATATATCTTCCAGCATATATTCTTCAAATTAGAATGCTCATGTTTAGAAAATAACCGTGATTATGTAATTTGCTGCGTAATAATCAATGTTTTTAGAATTGGATCGGTTATAGAACCGGACGACCATTTGGGTCATAGATTTATAGGGTACAACCGGTTCAACCGAGTTTTCAATTTTTTTTAAATGTCATTATTTTATTAATTTTAATGTTTTAAAAATATTATTTTCTTTATATTTTTAGTCTCCCAGTTATTATTTTCACTTTTATCTACATCATCTCATTTTTTACTAAATTTTATTGCTTATATACTTTATATTTTTCTATTTTTTGTTCTTCAAATCCGGTAATCGGCCACCCCTATTCAATCACCCATGATCATATCCCACAATCCTTCGACCACTCATGACTAGATCCGGTCATTCACTACTAAGTTTGTGAAGGTTTGCTCAAATCTAGCCACAAATAACCAACTCAATGGGGATGTTCTATTTTTTGAGTAGGGAGATTATCCTCGTTCCTTGAGATGGGATTTGCGCCCCCTTGGGGATGTTCTATTCTTTTTAGTAGGGAGATTATCCTCGTTCCTTGAGATGGGATGTGCATCCCCTTGGGGATGTTCTATTTTTTTAGCAGGGAGATTATCCTCGTTCCTTGAGATGGGATGTGCACCCCCTTGGGATGTTCTATTTTTTGAGTAGGGAGATTATACTCGTCTCTTGAGATGTGATGTGAACCCACTTAGCGTTGAAAGGTAAGGGTGATGCCCAACCTTAGGATGGGGATAACTGCCCACTGTAGAATGAGGCGCTCGAGACCTATGGTCTGAGGTGGATGCGCACGGTTGTGCCATTTGTTCGCGCGTGCGCATCAGACCATTTTTTCTGTTTTTGAAGTAGGGACGTGAAACACTTGATGGGATGTGAAACCCCTTGGGGTTGAAAGGTAAGTGGATGTACCACCCTTGAGATGAGATGCCCAACTTTAGGATGGGATAACCCCCATTTAGGATGAGGCGATCACGAACCACTGGGGTGAGATGCCCAACCTTGGCGATATATGGGCTCACTGATTCAGTGGCTGCACGAGTTGAATCTTCCGTGATCATACGCTGAAGGTCTTCTTCGGTTATCTGAACCGTTCGAGAAGTAAGTAGAAATTGATCATTTTAAGGACCCAGTGGGGCCTCACGAGGAGGAGCGTTGACTCCTGCTATGACGATGTATGGTGCCACTGCTTCAGTGGTAGCACAAGTTGAAGCTTTCGCGATTATACGCTGAAGGTCCTTATCGGTTATCTGAACCGTTAGAGGAGCAAGTAGAAGTTGATCTTGTTGAAGGTTCGGCGATCATATGCTGAAGGTCCTCTTCGGTTATCTGAACCGTTCGAAGGGGGCGGAAGTAGACCCCCAGAGAGTCGATGACCCATGGCGAACGAAATGTTTTGGGGGCACTGTGAACCCCCAGGGAGTCGATAACCCTTGGCGAACGAAATATTTTGGGGGCAGATGTAAGCCCCCAGGGAGTCGATAACCATTGGCGAGCAAAATATTTCGGGGCACTATAAACCCCCAGGGAGTCGATAACCCTTGGCGAGCAAAATATTTTGGGGGCGATGTAAGCCCCAGGGAGTCGATAACCCTTGGCGAACGAAATATTTTGGGGGCGATGTAAGCCCCCAGGGAGTCGATAACCCTTGGCGAGCAAAATATTTCGGGGGCACTATAAAGCCCCAGGGAGTCGATAACCCTTGGCGAGCAAAATATTTTGGGGGCACTATAAACCCCCACGGAGTCGATGGCGGTGGTGCCATAGGTGGCTCCACATGTGGAACAGGTGCTGGTATCGCGTTGGGAGCATTTGCTCCCATCGTGGCGATATATTGGGTCACGGCCTCTGTGGCAGCGCGAGTTGAAGCTTCTGCTATCATGCGTTGAAGCGCATCCTCGGTTATTTGAACCATTCGAGGAGCAGGGAGTGGTGGATCGGCGAGTGGTGGGTCCCGAGGGAGGATCACCTGAACCTCGCGAGGTGGATCTGCAGCACGTGGAGGAGCTGGTTTCACGGCACGTGGAGGAAGTGGCTCCGCGGCACGTGGAGGATGTGGCATGTTAGATCCTCCACGGACTGGGAAGTTATTAGCTGTGTCATTTTCTCTCCGAGCTGACGCCTCAGGAGGATCTTGACTAGCTGTGTCATTTTCTCTCCGAGCTGACGCCTCAGGAGGATCTTGATTAGCTGTGTTATTTTCTCTTCGAGCTGACGCCTCTGGGGGATCTTGATTAGCTGTGTTATTTTCTCTCCGAGCTGACGCCTCAGGAGGATCTTGTTGGCTACGTGATCTGGTTTGCATCGTTCCCACAGACGGCGCCAAAATGATGATGCTAATATGTAGCTCACCTAGGGTGGTGTAGAAAACGAACAGGGAGAGCAAAGCAGATCAGTAGCTTGACAACTTGATGATCCTGAGGTACCTGCGATCATAGAACACATGAACTAAGCTGGGGGTTGATCCGGCGGAAACCCCTCCGACGCTCAAGTCAGACGTGCTGATAGTAGAAATAGTCCAGAGAATACGTATTGTAGTATTGCTCAGTTAATAGGACGTATCTTAAGGAATGAGTTCAAACCTTTATTTATAGCTTAGTTGAGATTGTCGGGCTCAAACCTTACTTGAAGGTGATTGGGCCTCGGTGATAGTGGTTCGATATTGAGCTCGTAGCCCAGTAGGTAAGTAATTTGTAGGCCCATTGGGTTGGCCCAATTATGCATATCATTCTTCTTCAACTTCAAGAGAATTTCAACTTCAAGATATATAATTTTAACAAGGTGAGTTTGCGTTATTTTCTTATTACTATTGATTTATGGTTATTCTATTATTATTGATTTAGGGTTATTCTCTTATTATTGATTTAGGGTTGTTGATTTAGGGTTTTCTTGTGATTATTATGGGCATTTTGAATGTGAATTCCGAAATTAGGGTTATTAATTAGTCGGCGATGGTGTGTATGTGTGGTGAATTTCTTTGGTCTAAGAGAGAAATTGCTGCTCTAGGAACGAAATTAGGGTTACTATATGTTTCTTCTTGTAAAGAAAATTGAATTAAGGATAGTAATTGCTAAGTGGTTGAAAACATGGAATTAAAGATCTGGTTTTTATTTTTATTTTTGTACATGTTCAATTTATTTAATAATCCGAGTTTTGATTGATGTATGCATGTTCAGGAGGAAGATCGAAGATGGAGCTCGACATGGACACACGCATAAACATAGGTTGCTCCGCCGGAGTGTACATGTCTGCAGCGAAAGAGCTAATCGAGAAACTGCAAAACGCAATAGCCGAAGCGAAAACAGAATTGGAAAAATATTTTAATGTTTCAGCCCTACTGAAGCATATGCCTACGCAGCCGCCGCAGCCGGTGAAATATATGATCGAAAAAGGAAATTATGGCGATGAAGAGACGCTAACCGTTGAGAAGATGTTCATGTACATGGAAATTGATCGAATAATTGCGGCTATGTATACTCAGCATAAGGAACAGGTTGCGAAAGTCCACCAGATGACAAATCTGGCTAACTACCTCTTGGTAAGGTGTATCAAAGGCTATGGCTTTGGCTACGGTTATCACGAGCTTCTTTCTATTAAACTCCGGTATGTCGCCCGAGTCGACAAGGCTATCGAAACTTATAAAATTCAAACAGCAGTACCAGCACCACCATCTTCAACCAACAACGAGTACGAGTAAATTATTTATTCGTATTCTAGTATTGTTTCCCATGATTCTTCGTGAAATTTTCGTAATTTATTGGTTGAGACTTGAGAATAATGATTTATTGCATTATTTATTGAATTATTATAGTTTAAACTTGTCTTTACCATTTTTTTTTTAAGGCTTGTAGCTATGAGTTTATATTGGGCTTATTTTTTCAGCTTCAAATTATTCTTCAAGATTGTCAATGTTGCACATTCTTTATAGGGGGAATATGTCAAACACCCTCCATTGGGTGTTTTATTCTTGATAAATCTTTAATTAATTAATGGTATTTGAGATAAATCCATTGGACTTAATAACCCATATATACCCCTACTTATTAGTATAATTATTAAATTAAATATTAAGGTAAATTAATACCAAATCCCTCCCAACAATAAATCAATTTCAAATCAATCCCAAAATCACATTGCCGTATAAATTCGCCCCTCTTCCCCCAAATCACGGTAGAAAACATAACCGTATAATATGCAGTTTTTTTTTTTAAATAGTTTTTTTTATATTAATTTAAAACATAAGTTTTTTTTTTTTTTTTTTACTTTTTTAAATGGTTCATATTTAAAAAAAAAAATTAAAATCCACTACATACACATCGAAAACCACTAAATTTATCGAAAACCACTATGAAATTAAAGTAAAAATTACTATAAAATAATTTATCGAAAACCACTATGAAATTAAAGTAAAAATTACTATAAAATAAGAATAATCCACATTAATATTAACATAATCCACTATGTAATTAGTGAAAAACCACTAATATGTAATTAGTGAAAACCACTATGTAATAAACAAATTTCATTAAAAAAATTCACTTAAACCTATCAATTAAAAAAACCACTATTAAATTAACGAAAACCACTCTGTAATTAGCGAAAACCACTGTACTCAGCCGCATCTCCCGGACACCACAACCACCACCTCTGCTCCGCCATCCTCTTGATCTTCTCCAACCAACAGCCCCATCTCCCAATTAAGCTTTAAGCTTTTTTCTTTCATTATTCTTCAAGCTCAAAACTTGGGCGAAGACCCACCAAAAACTTGATGTCCCCGCTGCGCAAAACTTGACGAAGACCCACCAAAAATCAGCCAGATGCTGCAAAGAGAAATGGGAAAACATAAACAAATACTTCAAGAAGGTGAAAGAGAGCAACAAGAAGAGACCCGAAGATTCCAAAACTTGCCCCTACTTCCACCAGCTCGACGCCATTTACAGAGAGAGAGGTTCCAAATCCGACGTCGTTTCGTTTCCGGGTTACGGGTTGAATCCGGATGATAACAACCCGATGATGCTGCCGCCGCCCATTATGGCCCGACCCGAACAGTTTCAGGATAACGAGAGCGATCAAGACGACGAAGAAGACGATGTTGATGGAGATGAAGACGATGAAGACGATGAAGAAGATGAAGCGCAGTGTTTTGAGATTGTTATCAACAAGCAGCAATCTTCAGTTACGACGACGAACGCAGCCGATTAGTGATAGACTGATAGTTGTAGAGAGACAGATCTAGGGTTTGGGTGTGGGAGTTAACAGAGAAATATTGAATAACTGAGTATAAAATATAAAATATAAAATATAAATAAACGTGATAAGAGAAAAAGGTTATAATTGTCAAACTACATTAACTTTTATTAATTTTAATTGTTTTGGATTTAACTCAAAAATAAGAAAAAAATTTGGACTTATTGTAATTAGAGGGGGCTAACGAGGGGTGTTTGTCAAATTATCCCTTCTTTATAAAGGTCAATTTAATAACAATATATATAAAATATCAATTCGGATGGGTTGAAAGTCGGAATTTAAGAAAAAAAAATTGGAAATCACATAAGTTTTAAAATATCAAATCTTAGCGAATTTTTTTTGAAAATTTCATAATATTCCCAAAATAAAAACATTCACGTCGATAGAAGTAATTAATAACTTCTAAATTTCAATTAAAAAAACAAAAAAAACAAAAAGAAAATAATATCCAATAAAATTTAAGAATAATTCAACATGTCAAAATCCTACAACAAATAAGTATTATATAATATATATTATTTATAGGTGTGTTTTTTATAAAAAAACATGGAATTTTTTGAAATTAATTTCGGAAATTAAATCGGATCGAAAATTAGAAATTCTTATGTTTTTTATATAATTTCAATTCCAAATTATAATCCAAAAAACTCGGAAAAATTCGAACATCAGAATTCCGGTAGTGAAAAAAGAATTCTTGTGTATGGAAGTTTTTGTCAGATATTTTGACACCTCACCACCATGATGCAGGAATAGCTAATATAAATAGGGTACAAAAACACATGTTAAAAAGGAATATAATTAAATTCTGAGTAAACTGCAAATACTACCCCTGTATTATCTCGAAATAGCAAAAACCCCCCTGTGATAAATAAACTAGCAAAAACCCCCCTGTGAAATTTAGTCAAAGGCAAAATCCCCCCTAGCTGATTTTTTAGACTTGAAATGACAAAATTGTCCCTCAAAATGTATTTATATATATACATATTATATGTATATTTATTCTTTTTAATTTATTTGTTTAGAAATTAAAAAAAATAGTAAACAACTAAATTGATTATTTTTTAAATAAAATAATTAAAATATTTATAAAATATAAGAATTTATTAATTGCAAGACTCCGGGGGTATTTGTGTCTTTTTATATCAAGTCAACCCTCAAATAGTTCCATAGGGGGGTTTTTGCTATTTAAATAATTTTACAGGGGAGGTTTTTGCTAGTTTTTTTATCACAGGGGGGTTTTTGCTATTTCGAGATAACACAGGGGTAGTATTTGCAGTTTACTCATTAAATTCTACATTTTCTTCCCCTCGTCTTCCTGAAATGCTTATAAAAGGTAGCAGAACAAATCCAATGTGAAACATGAATTTAGCCACCATGATAATATATAATTAAAAAAAAAAAAGGATTTAATTAGCAAACCATTACCCTTAATCCCCTTCCCCATAATCAGTCTTTGATTTTAGCGGTACTGATTTGGACAATTTCATTGAGTTGTTGCATGTGTATTTTGATTCGGGTTTCATTGATTTGGACATTATCGCCGCCGTTCTTTTTCCAAACCCTGATTCTTTTGTCGCCGGAGCCCGTGTAGAGCGACGGCGTTGATCGCGTCGTCGTGCGCGTTCTGTACGGACTCCAGGCACTTGAAATCCGACGTCCGCCACGCTTTGAACGTGCGGTCCCACGAGGCGGAGTACAGCAGGGTGGCGTTTTTGTGTCGACAACACAATAATCATGGATATGTTCTGGATCAGAATTACTAAAACTCGAAAAATAAATTAGGACCGTAAATAATATAATTGAAGCCATAAGACATGGTTGATTACCATGATGAGTTTGTTTCGACTTCGAGACAAAAGGTTGTATATCGAACATAGAGGTTTATATAGTCGGAAAAACAATGTCAGCATTTCAAGTGGTAGCAACTATAATGTAATATCCACTTGAGAGTTTTTTGAGTAACCTAAGAGCAATTTTATGAGGAAAAATCAAGGCAAAGTGATTGAAGACCAAAAACTTATAAAGTGAAAATGAGTTCAATTCAGACTGAAAATCGGTTCTTTCTTTCTTACACAGACTGAAATGAGAAATCAAGTGACCTAACTCGTTGCGAAATACGATGAGCTTTCTCCAACGCCGCCACGACTCTTCCCATAGACGGCCGTTGTTGCTTAAGCCCAGTACACGACAAAGCCACCTTAAACACCAACTCAAACGACTCAACGGAATATTCTCCATTCAGTTTTCCGTCAGCAAATTCCGTTATATCCCCTCCTTTTGTCAGATTTTTTGCCTAAAAATAAAATCAACAAAATAAAAAAAATAAAAAAACAATTTTTTTTGAACTAATTAAAAATTTGCCCTACCATTTTACTCAGAGGCATTGGTTTGTTGACATTCATATTAATAACCCTCTGCCCTGATAAAAGCTGCAGAAGCACTATTCCGAAGCTGTAAACATCGGTCGAAGGATGTACGCGTCTGTTCTTTTGGTATTCCGGGTCCACATAACCGAATGTTCCTCTTACCTCAGAGCTCACGTACGAATTTCCCATGCAAATCACTTTCGATAATCCGAAATCCGATAGCTTTGCTTCGAAGTTTGTTCCGAGAAGTATGTTTGTCGGCTACAAAAAAGACCACTGAAAATTTTCATCTATTTTTCGTTTTTTTTTTAATCTTCACTTAGTAAAATAGTTACCTTAATATCGCGATGGACGATGCAGCCTTCCGTGTACGTGTGGAGAAACCAGAGTCCTCTTGCGCAGTCGATTGCAATTTCGAGTCTTTGGATCCAATTCAGAAACTTATGTTTACCTTTTTCATGCAAAAAAAAATGTAGTTATCATATCAAATAGTGTTTTAACATTGTATGTATATATATACATATATGTGTACGTATATGAGTATACATACCGAATAGCCATTCTGAGAGGTTTCCATTGTGGCAAAGCTCGTAAACGAGAAAGCTTTCATCTTCTCCATCACAATTGCCTAACAGTTCGACGAGATTCGGATGCTTGACATGTGATAGGCTCGTGACTTCTCTTACAAACGTTTCCATTTGGCCGTCGTTTATAATGTGCTTCACCGCCACCAGCTGCCCGTTCGATAGAATGCCCTTGTACACTTTCCCTAAAGAAAATTAACCACATAATTGCAGCATTTTATATTTCTTTAGTTTAATTAATTTGTCGGAATTTGGTGGCTTTTTACCTGCTACTCCTTGACCGATGAAGTTCGATGCGCTTAAATTGTCTGTGGCTAAATGAACTTCTCTAAGAGAGATCTTTACACTGCTGGATTCTACAGAAAACGAGGCATCTTGAGCTGAAAAACACAGGAAATTAAATGAATTATTTTTTACGATAATAAATCTAATGCGCCAATCGCAACAAAATTTACGTGTATGTATATATACATATATATTCATTACCACCCCCTTCTATTGGAGGTTTTCTTCTGGTTCTGTATGTATACAAGATCAGCCACACAATAGCTAGAATTACCAAAATAACCCCCACGCCACCGGCCACGATTTCCACACCTGTAAGCACCAAATACGTTTGATTATTTCTTCTATTCATAACAGGCAAATTAATTTAGAATATATATATATATACCTGTAATGAATGTAATTTTCTTTCCTTGTTCTGCTTTATCATCTGCATGCCAAACAGTACCTTAGGAATAAACAGAGTAAACTGCAAATACTACCCCTGTGTTATCTCGAAATAGCAAAAACCCCCCTGTGATAAATAAACTAGCAAAAACCCCCCTGTAAAATTTATTCAAAGGCAGAATCCCCCCCAGCTGATTTTTTAGACTTGAAATGACAAAATTGTCCCTCAAAATGTATTTATATATATACATATTATATGTATATTTATTATTTTTAATTTATTTGTTTAGAAATTAAAAAAATAGTAAACAACTAAATTGATTATTTTTTAAATAAAATAATTAAAATATTTATAAAATATAAGAATTTATTAATTGCAAGACTTCAGGGGTATTTGTGTCTTTTTATATCAAGTCAACCCTCAAATAGTTCCACAGGGGGGTTTTTGCTATTTAAATAATTTCACAGGGGAGATTTTTGCTAGTTTATTTATCACAGGGGGGTTTTTGCTATTTCGAGATTATACAGGGGTAGTTTTTGCAGTTTACTCGAATAAACATTTGAAAAAAAAAAAACAATGTTCTTTTAGGGTCCATTTGGATGGAGGGATTTGGGGAGGGATTTGATTTGGGGAATGGATTTGAAATGACTCCAATTTTGGAGTCATTTGAAATCCATCACTATTGCTCCAAAATCAACTAAAAAGGAGGGGTGGGGATTTGAAATCCATCTTCAAATCCCTCAATCCAAACAAGTCCGAGGGATTTGTTATTATGGATTTGAAATCCCTCCCCCAAATCCCTCCATCCAAATGCACCCTTATAGTATTTCAAGATTTATGCTAATTAGTTATACCGATAGGAGTTCCATTTCCAAGGCAAGTATAGGTCGATTCGATCCACCTCGTTTCGTTAATTCTTCGACATTCAATAAAACGAGCACCGAAAACCGACAGGTGTCGCCTTCTCCAGCCATCTGCTCCCACACCCCTAAACAAGAATTGCACCCTTCATCTGATTCTGATCGTAAATTCTTGCAACTTTGGTCGAGTTTCCGCAACCCGTTTTCTTGCTCGACCGCAACGTCTTTTACCGAGTAATCGGAGCAGCCTCCGTTTCCACTCGTCAGCTTCTCAATACCACAGATGAAAGCATCTTTCTCAGATGTGTTCAGTCTGCTCAAACAATACTTTTGCTGTGTGATGTTCGGAAATATTTCTCCACTCGTGTTCGTTTTTTTTGCGAGGCTGTATAAATATCTTTCGAACGGTATTCCACACCTTTTACTGCTCAGATATCCACCCCAGTTACCTTCAGAGCCATTCCAAAACAAGGGAATTTCCGTATCAAGTAAACAATTATCGGCTAGAGTTTGCAGAAACGAGAAACGAAAAACGATCGATAAGGCTAGAATGTATCTAACGTAGTAGCGACGGTTCATTTTCTTGAAAAAGATGAAACGATTACACGAAACAGTTTATGTTTTATGGGAAGATGAACTACTATATAAAACAGACGAAAGAAAGTGGTTTTACGACAAATGGAGCGGTCATACATCGTTGCATTTGGATTCATTTATTAAAAATGATTTTGAATAAGTCTAATGCAACATTCTGAACCTGTCTTTGTCTAGTAAAAGACAAGTGCAAGAACAAGGCAAACTGTCTTTGTCTAGTAAAAGACAAGTGCAAGAACAAAGCAAACTGCAAAGTATGATGACTAAGAATCAGGGGTGGAAATTAGAACAAAATTTCCGGTTTCCGTCGATTCCGATCCGAAATTTTCCAATTTTGGAACAATACTTTTCAATCCGAAATTCCGACTTCCGATTTTTCTGAAATTATTTGGACCGGAATTGGAATATATATATGAGATTCCGATTTCCGATCCAATTAAAATTCCAAAAAAAAAAAAATCGGAATATTACAAAAAAAATTCACTAAGGAATATTACAATTAAAATACTAATGTTTTTATGTATTTTATATTTAAGGTGAGCAAAAATTGGAAAATTCCGAATTCCACAGATTCCGGTCCGAATTTTTCCGATTTCGGAACAAGTTTTTTGGTTCCAATTTCCGAAATTCGATTTCCGATTTGTTGGAACGCAATTGGAACTAATTTTTCACTTTCGAAAAAAGTCGGAACATTTTCGAAAGGGCTGATTCCGATTGAATCCGATCCATCCGATTTACACCTACTAAGAATGATACTCCTATCTAGTTTTCTGTTACTTGAAGCAAAAGGACAAGCACGTGAGTACAAAGAGAACGATATTAATCGAGTATTTTGATAATTAAATATTCAGAAATTTTTGTTTTTAACTTGAATAAAGAAAGAGATATAGGATGCATTTGAGTATTTAATTTATTCTTGTTGACAACCAATTGATAAAGAATTGTGTCTAAGTTTCATTGAGGCATTCTAACAAACACATGGCATGGTTACAAAAAAATGACAGCAAAAGATTAACTGTACGCATTTTCTTACCTTTCTTGTTTTCTTCTTCCATCTTTTTTACCCACTGGATTCATTTTCTCAGAAATTCAATTGGAGTTGACTTGATGGTAAACCCCCTAAGGATTACAAAATTTAGTCTTTGGCCCCTATAAGAAAATTTTAGGATAAATAACGGACACCCCCGAGGTTAGATCAAATTACGAAAAAAACTCATTATGTTTGGGTAATTACCACAGCCCCTCAACTATGAATCTTCTTACAAGTCCATCATTGCGGTGTCAAATTTCGTGGAATTTTCTAGATTATGTGGAATATTCTCAAGTTTGTTCCCCTTTACCATATTTGAGTTTCACATTTTCTAACAAGATGATCATAAGATATGTCTCTTGGCTTGTAAATATCAGATTATGGTGCATCAGAAACTGCATTTTTTGTACAAATCGAGTACGAACTAGAGAACGTTCCACATAATCTAATGATGGCGGTTAATTTCCACGTGTAATGCATGGAACATGCATAATTTTAATTAATAAAAAATAGACATTGTTTAAAAAAAATTACAACAACGTTCAAAGAAAATAGAAGCAATAAAATTAGGACAATTAAAATACTCTTTTAAAAATAATAAGATAATAAATTCACCTAACCAATCAATATTATAATTCAAATTTCAAAAGACCCAATAACGTACCAATAAATTATACTTTCAAATTCCATAAAATAAAACCCTATAACTTTTTTTATTATTATTGTGATGCAAATAATGACACATCACCAATCTAATATTATATTGAGGTTTATGTACACATTTTAGGTTATTAGCCATATGACCCTCATTTGACATTTCCCTTTGCATCTCAATCCTTCACTTTTTTATTATATTATTCCAAGTTGCAAGAAATATAATTAATGTATTAAATTACCCATAAAACATGCAAAGTCATGGAGTATTAAATATTAAACACATCACCTAATTGTGGATCCAAAGCAAAATCGCAAATTATATACTAAATAAAAAACTTACATCTCACGACATTATTTTTATATTTCAAAAATGCAAAATAAACTAGTATAAGTGTTAAAAATTATTGTAATCAATGATTAATTTGTTTTTTGAAAGTATTTTATCACAAATACGTAACATATAATATAATGTTAAATACAAATTACACCAATATAATATCACCAACGTCTTATATAACCATGTACTATAAAATTCGGCGAAGTTGCCCCTTTAAAAGGTTAACGGTTAGATTGAGGGGCCAATTTGTCACATTTTGTAATACAGAAAAGTGCATGTGACACTAATAATTGCACAAGGGTGCAATTTGTAATTAAATCTTATTATTTATAAATGACTTCCAAAAATAAGAGTCCAAACAAGGCGCTATCTCTCTGCAAATCCCCAAAAAGTCCAACCACCACAAACTGATCGGAGAAAGTACCACCCAACGACCGCCGATGGGCATAACAATCACCGCCGCCGCCGCCGGAGGCGACTCAGAATCTGCAATCCACCTGATCCCCAAATCAACCAACAACCAGGAGAAGATCCCGAAAGATTCGTTCCACTTAGCCTACATAATATACTTCACATTGGGCGTCGGTTACCTCCTCCCATGGAACGCATTCATCACCGCCGTCGATTACTTCACCTACCTGTACCCCGGGGAGTCGATCGATCGCGTGTTCGCCATAGTCTACATGCTCGTAGGGCTCACCTCTCTGCTGTTCATCATCGCATTCGCTCACAAATCCAACTCCGTCGTGAGGATTAATGTAGGTTATGCGCTGTTCCTGGTGGCGCTGGTGTCGGTGCCGCTGATTGATGTTTGGTATGTGGCAGGAAGAGTTGGGGTGTACGGTGGGTATTACGCGACGGTGGGGGTTGTTGCATTGTGTGGGGTGGCTGATGGATTGGTGCAGGGCGGTGTAGTTGGGAACGCCGGTGAGTTGCCTGAGAGGTATATGCAAGCTGTCGTTGCTGGAACTGCTGCTTCTGGTAAATAATTTTCCTCTGTTTTTTTTTTCGATAATTAGGTTTTTAATTTTCAATTTTTCTTTTGTGGGTGCTGGTTTTGTAATCGATGATTTAATTGGGGGTTTAGTTATAGAAAATGTGGAAGAGGTTGAATCTTTAGTCAAATTGAAATTTGGTTCCTTATATGAACTTACTGAACTGAGTCTGGAGTTATGTTAACACGGTATTACTTACGGTTTTGCTGTATTCGACACGAATTGATCGAAATAGATTTGAAGATATAGGAAAGACTAAACAATTGAGCTGCAAACCGAACTGCTACTGATTGTTTATTGCATTTTCTTGATAGTTTTTGTCGATGTTGATCTCTATTACTATCGAGATCTTGATAGCTAGTTCACCTGTCGGGCGACATTGTCGAACATTTAACGATTTTCCGCCGTAGTACTTCTAAGTTGTAGTTCTATGCCAATAACTCGCAAAGTCACAATTATTTCGTTAATTTAGGCAGACACGGATATGGTTGGGAAAATATAGATGCTTTGCCTTTTCGACATGGATTCTTTCGTTAATTTAGGCAGACACGAATATGGTTGGGAAATTATCTGCTATTTATGCAACTTTGTAATTGTGCGCGTAATATCGATGATTTGCCTTTTCTACATAGCTGTTTGTGCTGTAGTTATTTTCCTACCGTTACCTTAAGTTGTTGCCACTACTAAAATGCCATTTCTGAGAAAAGTTACTTACTAAGTTAGTATAGATGCATAACGTTGATCTACAGATCGAACATGACCTTGTTGTTATGTCAAAGAGCTTGGACTAATAAGTTTATCGATTCTGCTATTCAGCCAAGTTTTGTCGTCTTGCTAAAAATGAATACCTGAATATTCCAACTGCAGGTGTCCTTGTCTCAATCTTACGAGTTTCAACCAAGGCAATATACCCACAAGACGCGGACGGACTAAGACAAAGTGCGAACGTATACTTCATAGTCAGCATAGTAGTAATGCTTCTGAACATCGTTTTCTACAACGTGGCACACAGGCTCCCGGTCGTCAAATACTACAAGAACTTAAAAAGCTTAGCCGTAACCGAAGAAAAAGAACAAAAAGGCGATATCACCGGAAAGCTATGGAGGTCAACGCTATGGGACATAGTGGGGTCCGTCAAATGGTACGGCTCCGGTATTTTAATAATATACGTCGTCACATTAAGTATATTCCCCGGTTCAGTCACGGAGGATGTCCACTCGGATACTCTTAAAGACTGGTATCCGATTATTTTAATCGCGAGTTATAATGTGTTCGATCTTATCGGAAAAACTCTGACCCCACTTTATCTGATGGAGAATGCGAAAGCTGCTATCGGTGCCTCGTTCGGGAGGCTGCTTTTCTTGCCCATTTTCTATGTTTGCTTGCATGGTCCGGATTTTTTTCAAACGGAGATTCCTGTGACGATTTTGACGTGTTTGTTGGGATTGACGAACGGGTATTTTACGTGTGTGTTGATGATTTTGGCCCCGAAAACTGTGTTGTTGCAGCATGCGGAGACCGCTGGGATTGTGCTCGTTTTGTACTTGGTCGTCGGGTTGGCTATCGGCTCTGTTGTTTCGTGGCTTTGGGTGTTGTAAATTTGCTTTTGTTTGTATTTTTCGGTATGTTTTTTTCCGAATTCGTAAATTGGAACTTGAAAATGTTGTATTTGTAATTGGTGTTTTTTCCTTGAAAAGAATTTGTATAAATGTACGATGTAATATTTTTATGCAAATTTCAAGATTAAAATACGAAGAATTATTTAATTTGAAAATTAGATAAGAAAGTAGCATTAAACTCAGATTCAGTTTGAAATAGTTGTACTGTTGTTAGAGAATGAGACCAAAATAGAAGAAAATCTCCAATTTAAGGCATGTGAGCTGGGGACGCATTGGTGACTTGTACTGTACAACCTTACGGGATTTGCAGATTTCCCGACATCGTCGCGAGTTTCTTGCTTTAGTTGGAAGCAACGCTCCGAGACGCGCGTGGTTTACACTTGTCCCATTAGTCTTCGCCACGCCAACTGTGCACGTTCATCGGACACCAGGCAAGCATGCCGAAGGGACGACCAACTTTTCTCCAATTACATTTTTGCCCTTCACTCTTAATTTTAGATTTATCCAAATCTTTAGATTTTGTCTATTTTTGTTAAATATGTGCTTATCCATACAATTCTAAAAAAAAGTCAAAAATACAATTTCATTAAGGGGGCAACTATTTCAAATACTAACTTTTGCTTACTTGAATACTACAAAGTTTAAAACCAAAATTGAGTACATATTTATCAGTTTTTTCTTACTTTAATACCAAAATAAAAAGAAAATTACAAAAACACCCTTTTATACAAAAAATCAATTATATCAAATTTTATTAGAAATTACCTAATCAAAAACCAAATAAAAAAAAAAGAAAAAAATCCCTTTGTTGTAAAAAAAAAACCTCCAACCCTCTCCAACCCTCGCCGCCGCCGCCGCCGACGCCGCTGAACGCCGCCGCCGCTTCTTCGTCCATTGTTATCAACCCGCCGCCGCTTCTTCGTTCCGGTTTCATTCATCCAAGTAATAATTTTTTTCGAATTTTTTTTCTTTAATATTTACTTAGGATTTGATTGTTTGATATGGGTAATTAGGATTTGATTGTTTTAGGTAGAAATGATCGTTAATTAGTAATGGATGCATATCTAATTTCAGTCGATTTGAGCATTGATTTGAGATTCGTGGGTTGGTTCTTCGTTCACAATTTTCGACCTGTATATGTCGATTTTTGATGAATTTTCGACAGCTTGATGTCGAAAAATGTGAAAGCTTGAAATGGGATTTTTGATAATTCGACAGACAGCTGTCGAAATTTGGATGAGTTTTCGACAGCTAGCTGTCGAATATTCAACCAATTTTCGACAGCTACCTGTCAAATTAGATCTGTGTAATTTTCTTTTCTTTTTTTTTATATTTTCGACACTTAGGTGTCGAAAATTGTATCAAAATTCGACACTTAGGTGTCGAAACTTAATAAAATATGAATTGTTATGTTTTCGACACATACATGTCGAAAAATAAGGGTATTTTCGACCTGTATGTGTCGAAAATACATGGCGAGTTTAAAAAAAAAAAAATTCAAAATCGATGTTTTAGCTCAAAAAATACATGAATACATACTTGAATGGGTTCTCCTTGCTCGTAAACTACCATTCTATTGTCATTTGACGCCATTTTGCAAGTTGTGTAAGGTTTTGATTTCTTTTGTTTTGAGGTTTTTTAGGAGGGTTTTTGGGGAGGGAGAAGAAGGAGGCGGAGGAGGTGAGGGGTTTGTGAGTGAGGAGGGGAAATGTTTTTTTTAGGTTTTTGATTATTTGGTATTTAAGAAAGAAAAATAGTATTTGTAATATTTTTTTGGTTTTAATTTTCATTAAGGGCATTAAAGTAATTTACAATTAATTGTTTATTTTTTATTTTTTTGGTATTCAAGTAAGCAAAAGTTAGTATTTGAAATAGTTATCCCCTTTCATTAATTTAGAATATACAAATATAGGAAAACTAATTTCAGATTTATCTAAATCTTGAAATTTGGCTATTTTCATTAAATGCGTGTTTACCCATAAAAATCGAATTTGTTTTGTTAAAAAACTAAAGTATTATTAATTCTATTATACATAATTTGGAAATATAAATACAGATTTATCTAAGTCTTGAAATTTGGCTATTTTCATTAAATGTGTTTACCCATAAAATTCAAAATGAAATCGAATTTGTTTTGTTAAAAAAATAAATATTATTAATTTTATTACACATACTTTGGAAATATAATTACAAGTTTATCTAAATATTGATATTTTGGCTATTTCCATTAAATGTGAGTTTATCCATATAACTCAAAATTAAATTTTGCTTTGTTAAAATATTAAAAATATAATTAATTATTAGATTATACATATTTTGGCAATTTTATTATTTTCATTAATGTGCATATGAAATTACCTCATCCAGTTTGAAATGAAAATCTGCTTTGTTGAAAATATAGAATTAGTGAATGACATTTTCACCTTTAAAGTTGTTTAAGTCCAGATTTTAAATCTGGTTCGGACTAATTAATTTTTTTCTAAAATTTACAGATTTTTGTGAAGACAATTCAGCATATTTAATTTCATATTATCCACATTTTGTCTTCTCATTAAATGTGTAAATAAATGTTAAATCCAGCTCAGTCCATCTCATTTAAATTAACTTGCCAAATAAATTAGAATATATTGAATTACTATTTTACCCTTCGTCAATTCAATTTCAAAATTATCCAATTTAAACCAAGTTGAATAGTATGGAATTTGAAAATTTGTGAAATTATCATTTTACACTTCAACATGTTTAATTCCAAATTAACAAGCACATAAAAATGCTGAAAAAAAATATAAAACACATATTTATAAGACAATATCTTTTAATTGCAAGCGTCACGATACAACCTTTCGTACTGATCTTGAATAGCCAACATATCATAGCTTCTGGGATTAAGCCTTGAATTACGTCGTTAACTCGCAATAACATGTGAATTATTGTCATGTTTGAGAAGTATATAACTTCTAATTGATTTAAAAAAAAAAAAAGAATACAAGTATAATTCATCAAGTTGCAATTACATATTAATCAAAAATAATTATAACACTCCAATTTATGAATTCAATCATACATCAGACTTTTAGTAAATCTAAAAAAATATCACAAAACTATAATATTAGAGTTTGAAGAAAAATGGCATTTAATTTAGCATGACATTAGCAAAACACATTCGAAGTATTTTTATTCCAAAGGTTGCTGCTCATCTTTTGTAGTTCCGCTGAATCCATACCCACATAACAATCGAAAACACTAGCAATTCCCTCATTACGACATAGTGTGCTTCACGAGGTGACGGCGTTGGCCTTTCGTTGAGATGTATCGGAAACGCCATTACTTTTCAGGAGTAATTATTAATTCGTATAATTTATTATACATATAATCAAATAAATGATTTGGAACTTATGATAATAGTATAGGAAGTTTTTTTTTTTTAATTTGCAAAACCATATTCCATATCATAAGGGCACTCCAAATCATTTATAATTGATAATATGATAATATCTACTAATCCATGACATGTTATTTTTAATCAATTAATACTCAATTTGATTGTAATACCATATGATAAATGAAAGCTAAGCTCATCACTTATCAGTATTAAAAAAAATGCAATCAAACGAGCATTAATTCCTAATCCCTCATATAATTCAAATATTTTACTTGTTCAAAATTTTGAAATTCCCACCAAGCCCAAAAAGGGAAAAAAGAAAAAAAAAAAGGAAATAAATCCACAAGAAAGGGTAATATTGTCATTACCACTACAATTTCCAAAATACCCGAAATTACCCTTCCAACTAAAACGAGGGCTAATTTCGTCATCATAAACCCTACCCCACGCCACCCCCGTTTCCCCGGTTTCTCTTTCTACATCAATTTCAAGAATCCCCGCCCGCGGCACTCACCCCCACCACCCCCACCCCCCACCCCCGCCGGCTCGCCCCTTCGTCTTCTCTCTCTCTATATATCCAAAATTCTCCTAACAACAACTCAGAATTGATTCCTTGTTTCGTCCCCATTCTCTCTCTCTCTCTCTCTAGAGCTTTCTCTCTCACCGCTCCCGTTTTTTCCGTGCTTTACTGCTCTGGGATTTTAATTTCTACCTAACCAATTTCGTCACCACTCTCACTCGGTGTTCCTTTCTCCATTTCTCCCATCGAAACCCCCCTTTTTGCAGACTCCAATTCTTCTTCCCTCCCACCGAATTCTGCTTTATTCATCGATTTTATCTTTGCCCCAATTTTTTTGTTACGCTACTCGGTGGTAGCTGTGAGTTTTGTGATTTTTTTTTGTTGAATTAATAATTTATCCCTGATAAATGGATGCTCAAAACATCAACAGAAATGAGAGCGCCAAAATGGCGTTTCAGATCGACCTCAACGAGACGCCGATGCCGTCGCCGCGTGAAGCATTTGACGATGCTGTTTTAGGGAGTGCTAGCATTTCCGTTTGTTCTGTGTGCAGGAAGGGGGTACCAGTGGGGCGGCTTCCTGCCAGAGCGACGGAGGAGCAGCGGCAGCAGTTTAAATGCTTCCGGTGCTTGCTGAAAAAAGACGCCGGAGTCAGCACCAGCGGCGGCGGAGTTGATATGGGGCGTTTTGACATCAACGCCTCACCTCCTCTCGAGACGGAGGAGGTTGATGATGTTGCTGTCCCGGCTGGCCGGGACGGAAATGGTGGTGGCCAGTAAGACTTTTTTACCTTATTCTTTACCCTTTAATTCTTCATTTTTTTAATGATCTTTAAATGCCTGATGTTCCTTTTGTTTAAGTGGTTGTGTGTGCTTTTTCTGGTTCTTCTACGTGCTTGATTGATTTGTATGTGATTGTTTGAGTTATCGGTGATCTTTCAGGGGTGAAAGATACAAAACTATTGATTTTTTTTTTCTTTTTAATTTTATTAAATGATATATAAAATGTGTAATGTGACCACCAGTGGGCCAATTGAGTTGGGTAATTTTTTGTACTAAATCTTAGACTGGAGTTATTGATGTTCATTTTCATGCTCAAATAAACTGAATTATTTTTCAAAATTAGATAAGAAGGGGCAAAAGATACACCAAATCGGTAGCATAAATAGGCATGTTTAATACATTAATGAAAAGAAAATACCTGTTTTGATACGTCTGTTACGTTCCGGTTGCATTCTGCCATGGATTGAAAAAAAATGCCTTCTCATCGATCCAGATCTTTGTTCCAGTTGCCTTTTTTTTCTGCTCAAGGAATCATGACAAAATGAAAAAAGAATTATAAGAACATGATTTTTTTTCTTATCATCTGTCTACATTGCATTTGCAATTGAAAGCACTTTGCACTGGCTATCATGGAAAAACCTTATGAAAAAAATAAAGCAGAAGTGCTTACCAGTTGGTCTGGATGGTGATGAGAAATGCAGGAAGGGGAAAGGGATTAAATAAGGGGGGATGTGGCGGCTACTCTATTTTTTGGTGCTTTAACCTTCCAATGCCTCCCCGTTTCCCTTTTAAATCTAGGGTTTCCTGTATCGCTTTCGGAAGTTGGGTTAACACCCATATAACTTTTTTGGGCCAAAAATCTTCAGTTCCGGAGGCCCTTATATTTTTGGGCCGAAAAACATTTACTACTGAATTATCAATATTCGAACCGAATGTGAATTTGTTTTTTCTCCGTTGTATGTTCCACACATGAATTCAACTTACAGCTGAGCCTAGTTAATGTATGTTATCAGGGGCGATGCATTTTAATGCTTGAATGTGAATTATGTGATAGGTTTCTTTGTATGGTTTGCATTAAATTTGAATCGCAAACGTCTAAATGCCGTGAAATTAGCGTATGTACCTTGGTAATATGATTTATTTTCCCAAGGCAGAGTAAAAGAATAAAAATATTTTTGGACAAGTTTTATGAAGTGGTTCGTATTTCTTTCTTTGTTTAGTTTACACTCCAATCTTTGACACACACACACACACACACACACACATATATATATATATATATATATATATATATATATATATATATATATATATATATATGTATATACGTGTCCATGTATTTTTTCGTTTTATTTATGCTCTTTCCATGAAAAATACAACAGTTAGAACAATGTCAATGCCCAGCCCTGAAAGTTAACTCAGCATTATAATAATGTAGTATTAAGAATATATGTAAATGCACAAATAGAGGAAATGTAGCCTTCAATTAGCTAATATGCCCCTTTTGTATATAATGCATGTTTTAATTATTGAAACTTTCCACAGTGCATGTTAATGATAGATTTGTGTCTTTGAATAGTATAACTACTCGATCCTTGTTACTCACAAGTAGAAAACTAGAGGCCTGTAGTTGTTTTGTCTTTAACGTTTCTTTGCTTTATTATTATATCAGATTTTCATGATTGTTGTGTTGTTGTGATTGACATATATAGTTCCACAATTCCCATTCTTGATTTTCCATGTTTTATATCTTGTTCACATGTATCTTCTGAGAGTGTATGTAATGGACACGTTTATTTGGTGTTAATGCTAGCCTTAAATGCGGAACCGCAACCTGCCATCAATTTATTATACATTCATCTCTTATACATTTACTTTTGCTACTATAGATATACTCATGCATTTTTCCTATTAACGTCTACGACCTCACAAAATCAAGAAGTTTGAATTGTCTTGATGTTCTGCAAGTCTTTTATATGGCATTGAATTTAATGTCATCCCCGTTGCCGTCATGTTTAAATTGCATATTTATATTTAATCTCAACAATCAATTTTTTTTTTCATTCTACATCTCATTGAATCTCAAGTATTTCCAATTTGCAGATTGCAGGGCACAATGAGTTCTTTCTTCCACCACATCACAAGAAGGCAACTGAATCCTGTGCTGGAGGATATTAGGCATAATCTTCCAAAGACATCACCTATTGCGACAAAATCTGCTACTCCATCAGAGTTTACAGCTGAGAGTCCAAACATGCTGTATCTACAAACTCTTAGAGAATATATTTCTCAAAGAGCAGGCTCTTTAGGAGAAGGTTGGCATGTGGAATTTGAATTCTGCAATAAAAGATACAAAACCTCTGCTGTCTATATAGCACCTGATGGAAGTAGGTTCAAGTCGATGGAGGATGTCGCTAGCCGCTTAGGGTTGCCATCACAGTTTTGCGGTTTGGAGACCGATAATAGAAGCAACGAATATGCCTATATCCCGAGCATATTCAGAACTCATCCAGCAAATAAAGACTCAGTTTTTCTGGCAGCTCAAAATTGCAGCCAAAGAAACAAGATTCTGAGGGACTGCAACAGCCATGGTTTCTTTTCCAGCTCAGGGATAGCTGGTTCTGAAACTAATTATAACAAGAGTATGAAGGTACCTGGGTTCCCGGGAAATAGCAGCCAGCAAGATGGTTTCCCTGTGAGTGTATGCTTTAACTACAAATTGTTACTCAATTTTACCGAAATTTACACTTTCACCGATTTGTTTTGGGGATTTATGCTGGTTTCCTGTGCTATTGTTATAATCTGAATTTGTGTTCTCTGTTTTTCAGGATGGCTTCCCAGTTCAATTTCAGGACTTCTGCCTTATATCAGCTGGCAGTGTTGATCAACGGCCTTCATACCATAACGCCGACCAAATATGGCCTGTTGGTTACAGATGTAGCTGGCATGATAGGATTACTGGATCTCTTTTTGTATGTGATGTTGCAGATGATGGGGATTGCGGCCCCATTTTCAAGATTCACAGGTATCCATGCACCATGCAGTCGATACCAGTTGGCTCAACTATCCTCTCAAAGAAAAGACCAGTTTCCTGCAAAGGGGATGACATGGCGAGGAAAGATTATTTGGCCACATCCCAGGTGGTTGATGATGATAGTATATCTTCAATAACCCTGCTGAATGAAGATAACCCCCCCTGCCTAGACAATTGTGTCTCTGTTTCAAAGAGAGAAGATGAGGTTTATAACTCCCAAGAAGACAATTCTTCAAATTTATTTCTTCCTCAGGGAACAGGAAATTCCATACGTGATGTTGTAAGACTAAATGATACCACTGGGGAATTTCAAGTTGAGGGCAGGTCAACATCGTTTGTGTGGGAGATGGTTTCTAAGGCGTTGTTATACGGTTGCCATGAGATATATAAACAGAAGGGTGTAGTTAAGTTTTTCTGCTGCCATGATGCATATGGAATGAATGAAAACCCGGACAGTACCGATTCTCTATCGAGATACTGTTGTTCTGATGTCTCGATGAGCATCCCTCGTTTGGTTCAGAATGAGAACGAGTTTAACATGGCTTGTGAAAAGCTGTTGGTTTGGTTAAACCAGGACAGGTTTGGATTAGATGCAGATTTTGTTCAGGAGATTATAGAACAACTTCCTGGAGTTACTGGTTGTCCAGAATATAAAAAACTGAACGACAGAAAAAATAATTCAGGAGTACAAACAGTCGGAAGTGGGTTTTTGCAGGCTGAACGGAATGGAAACACTGCTTCTGAAACTTCTAAGAGATCTCTCTTAAAATTGAGTAACACAGAAGGCGTCTTAAAGCGAGGTCCATGTCCCCCGGGGAAGACACTTAACTCGAAGCTTCCGTTGTATTTGATGGGTGATGCTCTGCAGGTACCATGAAGTCCTTTTGTTTAATTAAATTTATATATATTCTACATGCTTATTTTTCCCTCTCTGTTATCAGGTTTGGGAGCTTGTGTGGCGTTTCACAGAGGTTCTGGGGCTTGGAAAACCCTTTTCCTTTCAGGAATTCGAATCAGAACTTGTAAGTCCTTGGTCAGAAAGCTACACGTTGGATTCAAGACATGGAAATTTGGACATTGGAGAAGCTGCTCTCTCTAGTGGTGCGAAGGTTTCTGAACCAGGAGGAGATTGTCTTGGTAGGTCTAAGGGTCTTCTCTTGGGAAAGATGCTTGGCTCGCTGCTGGAACTGCTCGTTGGTGAACTTTTATCAAAAGCATCTGCATATGTATGCCCTAATCTTGATACAGGAGAAATAAAATCAAGACGAGGCAGGAAGAAAGATTTGGATAGTTTGGCTGCTTTGAAGAAAGCAAAACTCGATATGCTGCCTGTCAATGGACTTACTTGGCATGAAATTTCTCGGAGATACATTTTGGCTGTGATGTGCATGGAGGGAAATCTTGATTCTGCAGAGATTGCCAGCCGAGAGAGCGGGAAAGTTTTCCATTGCCTGCGAGGTGACGGCGGAATACTTTGTGGGGCTCTTACGGGCATAGCTGCACTGGAGGGCGATGCAGTGGTGCGTGTTACTGTCCTTTATTTTTATTTTTTTATTTATTATACTTGTGTTAACTGTAAACAACCTGCAAATTCACCCTCTGTAGATAGCAACTTCACCCTTTAACTGTTAAACATTTATTGAGTTATCATGTTCTAATACATTTTGTTTTTCAGGTTCTTGCAGATGCTACGAAGGAAATATTTGGTTCATTGAAGAGTAAAAATGAGATTACAGTATCTGAGAGAGAATCTGATACCACTGGTGCTCAGACAGTTGAGGTGAATGACTCTGTCATACCTGAGTGGGCTCAAGTGCTTGAACCTGTAAGAAAGCTGCCCACAAATGTTGGAGCCCGGATCCGAAGGTGCATTAACGAAGCTTTGGAGAAAAATCCTCCCGAATGGGCCAAGCAGATGCTGGAACACTCTATTAGCAAGGAAGTTTACAAGGGTAACGCATCAGGACCAACTAAGGTAATTTCTTGGTCTAGAGTTAAAAATTTCAGATTTTTTCATTCAAAAAAGACGTCTCTTCTCTGCAAATCCCACATATTGCGAGTTGTATATGCGAATATGATGTGACATTAACTCTTCATTACTGATCGAATGCAGAGAGCAGTTATCCAAGTCCTTGCAAATGTGAGCAGTGAAAATCCACAGCAGAAGGTTGAGAAGAAAGAGAAGATAAAGGTTAAGACCAATCTCGCTGATCTCATCACCAAACAATGTCGTATTGTGCTCCACCGTACTGCTTCTTCAGACGAAGATAGAGTCTTCTGCAATCTTTTGGCAAGGATAGTTTTGAACCCCAATGATAATGACGACGAAGGGGTTCTTGGGTATCCTGCAATGGTGTCTCGACCTTTAGACTTCAGGACTATTGATCTCAGATTGGCTGCTGGAGCTTATGGTGGTTCACATGAAACATTTTTTGATGATGTTCAGGAGGTATGTAATTCAATAATGGGTTGACTATTGTTCTAAGAAGGATTGTAGCACAAGAATACAACTTCTAATGATTTTATAAGCGTATATAATCACGTCGTAGATCTTAAAATACATTAGTTTCTGACTCATGTTTTTGTAGGTTTGGCGCAACATACGCATTGCATATGGTGATCGACCTGATTTGATTGACGTGGTTGAGAACTTGTCCAAAAAGTTTGAAGAGCTTTACGAGAAAGAGGTTGGTTGATGTTGTTTTCTTGTGTTTTAATGAGGGTTTCTTGATATTTGATATGCGTCTTTGTGGGAATTTTTTTGGGCTGCTTCAATGTGGTATTTATTTTGGATCAATTGATGTGTTTCGGAGCTTTGATATGCTTGTATTTTATCTCAGGTCATGACCTTTGTCCATAAAATTGCTGAGAATGTCAATGCTAGTGATTCGAGTGCTGATGCTATAAAAGAGAGAGATGATTTGCTTGTTCAGGCGTGTAATAGCTCACTTCCTAGAGCTCCTTGGGATGAAGGCATATGTAAAGTGTGTGGAATGGACAAAGACGATGACAATGTTCTCTTATGCGATAAATGTGATTCTGAGTATCATAGATATTGTCTAAGTCCTCCACTTCTGAAAATTCCAGAAGGAAACTGGTATTGCCCTTCATGTGTTACTGGTCAGGCTATATCTTACAGCACATCCTATGGGTCAGTTGCAACTCAATGCAGGAAAAGAAAACATCAGGGGGAATTCACGTCCAAGTTTTTGGAAGAACTGGCTCGATTGGCAAAACTGATGGAGATAAAAGAATATTGGGAATTCACAATTGAGGAGGTAAGTCATCAAACATTTCTTCGTGTTCAACATTTTGCGAGTAAACCAACATACAATGTGCTTAGGAGGCTGTCCTGGTCAAACAAACTGGAGAACTTTGTGTTTAATCTTATGACCGCTTTATATAGTCCACTTGTAGTTCTTAAATTATTGCATGCAAACCTTTCTTGATCTCTTCTTTAATCCTGTGTTTTGTTGGTGCAGAGAATATTCTTCATGAAGTTCTTGTTTGACGAGGCTTTAAATTCTGCTACTATTCGAGAGCATATGGATCAAAGTTCCTCCCGTGCTGCTGATTTGCAGCAAAAACTACGCTCTCTCACTTACGAATTGAAGGTCCTGAAGGCAAAGGAAGACATGCTTGGGTTGAGCACAGAGAAAGTCAATTCTGGTGGACGGGGAGATATGAAATCAGATGCATCATCTTCTCTGCTTCTCACTGAAAATAGCTCAAGAATACCATCTGAAAAGGGCAGCCATCTTTCGTCTCTCTCAGCCTTCACACGACTGGAAGAAAGACCTTCCTTAAACGAACAGCCTAATCAGCCTCCGCTATTATCTACCATTCCTGCACCTGTAAGTTCAGCTCAAGAATCTCGTGGCAATCCTGATAAGCTTTCGTCACAAGACAACAGCCTCAAGGCGGCCACAGTTAAGAGTGATATTTCCAGTATGCGGGACTCGATTGCTTCCATAGAATTGGAACTGCTGAAGGTATCCCTTCGAAAGGATTTCTTGGGGCGAGATTCTAACGGCAGAGTTTACTGGGGTTTTTACTGTCCTGGTGCTCGCCCATGGATTATGGCTTGTGGAGATTTGGCATTCAAGGAGAGGTGTCCTGAAGAATTCATTGGTGTTCCTGATTCTCACAAATGGATGTACTATGAATCAGATGATGAGATTGAGAAACTAGTTGGATGGCTGAGAGAGAATAATCCAAGGGAGAAAGAATTAAAGGAGTCTATTTTGCAATTGCAAAATAACAAACTGAAAGACTCGCAGTATACTGAAAATCACATCCTAAGCAAAGCAGAGGAAAACCGTAGCGAAAGAAAAGCCTCGTCAGCTAATATTTTGTCTACAAAGGCAATGGCCAGTTTGGAAAATAAATTTGGTCCTCTGTTGGGGACCAGGGCTACTGATGCTCGTCAGAATCTAGCTTCTGGACTAAGTCCAGATTGTCGAATGTATAGATGTGAGTGCCTAGAGCTGTTGTGGCCTTCTAATAACCATTGTGCTTCTTGTCATCAGAGTTTTCCAACCACTGAGGAACTAGGACAGCATTTGAAAGAAAATTGCAAACCAGCGGCACCTGTTCCTAAGAGAAGCCAGACAACTGAAGATGTCTCTAAGCGCAAGAAGTTGAAAATTGTATCTTCACAGGAGAAACGCCCTGGTGATATGGGCATTCTTCAGACATCAACGAGTAAGAAGCAAAATGACGGGTCTTCTTTCGCTGACAGATATTATGCTGACTGTCCGTTTAATTTTGAGGAGATTATGACCAGGTTCGTTGTTCCTGGCTCGATCAAGGATGCGGTGAACAGCATAGGACTTATTGGTAATGGTGGCATTCCATCTTTTTCGTCAAGCGGGTCCCTTTATCTTAGTGGAATGCCTACAGATTTGAGTAGTAAACAGCATCACTCGAGTAATGAAGGCAGTGCTGCCATGAACACAAAGGACAATAAAGAATCGAGTAGATTGTCAAGCTGTGCTGAAACCTTCTTAGGTGAGAAGGGATCTGGTGTTGGGAGATTGAAATCCATTTCGATGAGCGGAAGGGAACATGTTTCCTCCATGAAGAACAAGAATTCACTGCTCGGGTTATCGAAAAGTAGTCTGATTCGTGAATCTTCACAAAGACCATTAGTCGGTAGAGCTTCTGAAATTCTGAGGTTTCTTAAGATTAACTTACTTGATATGGATGCTGCTCTGCCACAAGATGCTTTAAGAACGTCTAGGTCTAATGAAGGCAGAAGATATGCATGGCGTGCATTTGTTAAATCAGCGAAATCAATTTATGAGGTTAGTCACGACTTCCTTATTCCTACACATACACACACACACACTTTTCATTTCCCTCTCTTCACTAGGGGCTTAATCGGGTTTCATAATTCATAGTTCTTTCATTCTCTCTTGTCCTTACAGATGGTTCAAGCAATGATCATACTTGAGGACACCATAAGAAGCGAGTACTTGCGAAATGATTGGTGGTATTGGTCATCACCTTCAACAGCAGCTAAAACCACCACTCTCTCGTCCCTTGCTTTGCGCATATACTCTCTAGACGCAGCCATTTCTTACGAAAAACCTCTTCAGAATGGTTCAATCGAGATGCCCGAACCAAGTTGTGCATTAGAAGACGAAGCCCCTCTCAGTAAACTTCTCAAGAATCTTCCAAGTCCTAGCAGCCCGTCATTGCAGAAAACCCCTGAGCCAGATTCAGCCGAGAATCCAAGAACCAGGAGTAGAACTAGCAAGCGGAGGAAAGATCTCAACAGTTGATGTTCTTCGTATTTTTGCCAGTGATATATAACAGAGGGAAAAATTTCCTGCCCCCTTGTATAATTAATATAGAGCTTCATGTATCCATAGATAGAATAGCTGGTTTAAAACCACAGCTGATTTTTTTCTTCCATAAACTGCGGGTATACAGGCACTGTCAAGTCAATAGATGTATGTACACATATAGGAACCTGCTTTACCAGTTTGTAGTGTGTACCATAGTTGTACATTAGTATCAAGTCAGCTTATTCCAGCAGTGAAACTGCTTCTATAATTTTAACAGCCATGTGTACTAATGTATGTGTAATATATTCAAGGGGATGTAAGAAAATGTCAGATTATAATTTCATTTGTGAGATTGCAAGTCAAATTCAACCCTGTGCAGTGAATCATTTTGAGAACTAAAAGGCATTCATCTGTAACTCGAATTTTTTAGTTTGTAAGAATCTCCGGAAACTCGAGCAAAATATTTTTGAGAAAATTAATAAGAATTGTCGATTATCTTTAGACATATTACATAGTATTCGGCTTTACAATTAATCTGAGAACATAGGAGTTGTCTGTAAATTTTTTTGTAAATCCTAAATCAGAAAGGACAAAACTGCAATGCACACCAGAGACTTGCCAAAGAAGAAAACTAAGCATGCCTAATTCTATACATCATGTAAAAAGAGAAGTTCAGTTTACGTTTCATTAAAATCTGAAAATATCTGTTAACCAAGACAAAGGTGTGGCACCATTTTCCTTCAATGTATTGCAACTTCTCCAAGAAGAAAAGAAGAGAAAAGAAAGAAGAATTCTTCTATTGTTCTTGCATGAAATAGGATGATTACAACATGATTCTACACACTGATTATGAAACTGCATCTAAGAGCTAATAGATTGAAAATAGTAAAATTATGATTGGTTGCAAACGATTCCATCTTTAAAACAAAGAAAGGAAAAGGGGGCTGGTGTGCTTCGGAAATATAAACTACCTCAACAGCAACAAAAATTATTTACTTTTCAGTATGCCGTTCTCCACTTTCTTGATCTCGAATATGAGCATTCTCCACATCTTCAGCACAAACATCTCAGCTTCGTCGTCCAATATGCTTTGGAGCCTCTCGAGCATCTCGCCTGCATCAACATGGTCCTGAATGCTAGTCACAATGTAGTCCACAAGTGAAACCTCTTCCTCTCCCAGAAATTCTGTAATCTTTTTTGATACCCACGGTCTCATTCTCTCGTGCAATGCATTCTGTAAAGTACGGAGATAACTTTTTTTAGCAGAGGACCAAAGCAAAAGTACTGTAGATCATGATTAGTATACGTTTCTGTAATTATAGATTATAGCCATGTGTAACGGAGTATAACAACTCCTCGCAACCATACTGATTTTTCACAACATAAAAATAAATAAATGATAGTGACCTTTTCCGATGGACAAATTATCACTAAAATAGAATGCCACAAGAAACCAAACTTTAGGGAAGAGGGTCACCTGATCATAAACCACCCAATTTATCTCGTAAGAAAACAACTCATCTTTGGACTTTGGAATTGTGTCGATCAACTGCTTAGCATTCAAGAGCTTCGGTTTTTCTGGTGTCTTCGTTCTATTTGACCTCTCTCTCTCAAAATTGTCCTTTCGACTCTCCTCGCGGGTTCTAGTAGTGTCTTCTTCATGTCTATTTCGGTCTCGATGACTCGATCTCTCATGAGAACGCCTGTTTTTTTCTTTTTCTACATCAGACTTCTCTTCTTTAGGATTCGCAGTTGAAATACGCTTCACAAATTCTGCTGCAGCAACCATGTTTGCAGATGGATCTTCCGACGTAGAAGATTGAACTACTTGCTGTTCCTCAGTGTAATCAATTGGAACTAGAGGCCTCATCTTTTTTTCCTTGTGTGCATCTTCATCCTCATCCTCCTTGAAAACAGAAGGGACTGCAGTTCGTTTTCCAGACCCTGAAAGACCAAAACCCAACTTTCTAGCTGGCAAATTGCTATTTTGCTGCGCATCTGAAGCAGAATTAGATGATACGACAAACTCGTCACTGATGCCATTCTGTGAAACCCCTTCACCTGCTATTGGCAAAAAAATATTATGATAAAAGATGGAATTTTTCAATTGGAAAAAGGAAAAAAACTGAAACAAGAATTAAGCAGGAAGATTTACCTTCATATGTCTCATGACTTGGTTCATGGTCAAACATATCAACGTTAACCTGGTTAACAGTATTAGTTTCATTCAGCAAAATAGCTTTCTCATGTCCATTAGCTGGTTGATCGGCTATAATTTTCAGAGCCTCAAGCTGTTTCTTCTGTTCTTCCTTGGCCCTCATCTTAGCTTCTGCAATCTCTTCTTCCTCTCTTAATCTATCGGCCTGGTCCTCTTCCTTCTCCCTTTGTCTCCTTCTCCTATCTTCATCGCTGGTCTTGTATTTCCTCTTTTTTCCGTACCCATCATCACCATCACGCTCTTGGTCCATAATTTCCCACTTCCTTTCCTGAGCCCTCTCTTTCTCTCTTTCTCGCTCTCTCTTCTGCCAATGCTCTCTCTCTTTCTCCCTAGCTTCCCACTCTTTTTCGTGTGCCTTAAACCTGCGTTCATCCTCTCGACTCCTGTGTTCTCTGTCCTTCTCCCTCTTAGCTCGTTCTTGCTCCCGTTCTCGCTCGTATTTTTCAAGTTCCCTTTCCTTTTCTCGATTCGTTTCACGGTCTTTGTTTCTATCATGCCTTCTACTCCTATCAGGCGAATTTGTTTCAGTCCTGTCATGCTGACTTGAAGGTTTGCTTTCAGCAGTCTTCTCATCTTCATTTTTCTCTTCTGAGTCTGCAAAATGAAAATGAAGCAAGTCATTGGCATTTAGGAAAACCATAGTAGACGGTACAAGTGTTTCAATGAGACAGTCAAGTTTGCTAGAAACACTCACCATTCTTTGCAAGATCTTCTTCTGATTCCCGATCCCGTGACTCAGAAGGCTGTTCTGAGTTTGAGTTCCCAGGACCATCAACAGGTCTTTGTGGGGGTGGTGGTGGAGGTGGCAGTGGCTTGCTCTTCAACCGTTCCTCTATCATGCCTGCTAGCTTGTCAAGAGCCTCACGGTCTGCTTTCCTGTCTTCATCAGTTACAAGACCAAAACTAGCAGCATCAGGTTTTTCCTTATTCATTTCATTCTCGTCTCTTTTATGTTCATCTGAGGAAGGCTTCGGAGATTCTTCAGAGGACTTGAATATATCGTCCGTCTCAGCATCTGATGCACTAACTGTTTCTTTCTCAGCACCTTCAGTTTCTGATTCTTTAATGCTCTTCAAACTTTCACTTTTCTTTTCTACATAACGTTCAAGATATTCTCTAGTTGCTTGATTAACATTTAACTGCATATTCATAAAGACCACCAGAAATCAACCAAAGATAAGTTCATTCATCCTTTTTAACTTCCATAACTTATGATGGAAGAGTAACTAGAGAAAGATTCAAGGTCATGCTGCCCAAAGGCAGAGAACACATCCGAAGATAGTGAAGACACAAGATCATGACCGATGTCATTGAAACAAAAAAATAAAAAAATTACCTTGTGCAGAAATACAAACTTAAATATTAGTTATAGTTTATGATCTAGATATCAGCTAGCAGTATAACATACTTTGTGTTGAGCCAAATTCATAACAAATGGGATTGAATTGACATCTTGCTGTGCAGATGCTTAAAGCCAATTCTACATAATACAGTAAGGTTATCAACAGAAAATGTTGATAGGAGAAGTATAGGCAGCAATAGAAAAGAACTTGATCATACCATCAATTCTTGTCCATCGACACTCAGTTTATTAAGTAGTCTCAGTGCACGGAGAACTCCTTCAGCATTCTCAAATTCACAAAACCCAAAGCCTTTTAAAGTTCCAGTGGGATCTTGAGGACGTTTCCAATTCTTCACAGGCCCGCAGAGCTTCAGAAAAATTTAAAAGTCAGACTTGATCACGTGAACATTCAAGCAACCATAATCAAACCAAATTGCACAAAGCAGAGAAACACAAAAAAAAATGAACTCAACAGAAATGATAAGAAAAGGAGAACAAGAGAATAAAGATGATGGAAATAACATCATACCTGCAGGAGAGGCAGCATGAAATCATTTTCCACCGTCGATGATATCTTTCCAACGTAAACAGTTGTCTGAGGCTTCTCTGCTGGCACAACACCTGGGATAGCAGTTGGCATAGCAACAGGAGGAATGATTGGGCCACGAACTCCAACACCCGGAGGACGTGCCAATAGTGGCATAACACCAATCAATGGCCGTGGAGGAAATGATGGTCGAATCATTGATGCGTAAGGAGAGGGATAACGAAGAACTCCTGCATAAAGGGGACAAAAAAATCTATGCATATTGTCAAGAGTATGCCATAAAAAATATATATCAATCCTTACAAAAGCCGGAAACAAGCATAAAAGGATGCAAGAAAATAAATCAACTGTTGTTACCAAAAAACCATAAGCAAAAAGAGATTGCAGCACAGGCATGACAACACTCACCAGCTGAACATATAACCTGAAGGAACATCAAGAAAATAATATTTGGATTCATGAATCTGGAATGTGTGAACAGGGCATACCTTATGCATCCACTTGCAAAACAGAAGGCATGTGAAAACTATCCAATTTCAGGAACCACAAATGAAGATTTAATTTGAGCAGTGAGACGAGAGACCCAAATTATCACTCATTTAGATACATCAAATAAAATCACAATTTACGGGTCTACAATCTTAAGTATGCCAACTGTAACAAATCTCATAGGCATCATAATATAAGCTAAGAAGCGAAATCCAAATTGCATGATTGAGAAGATTGCAATACCTTGAATTACAGAGCATAGCTGCACTCAACTTTTAGCATAGTCTGCTGCCGGCAGTTCAAATATTAAAATCCCATAAACGGGCTATTCTCATCACGACAATAAAGAGCCTACTTATGAAACAGCAGAACCAAAATTAATTTAGATTGGAAGTGGTCATATTTTTCAGCCTATAGCATGATATTTTGGAAAAATACCCTTTTTATCATTCCGTTATTCCTAATGCGATAGACTCATAAATACTAGTATATTTTATTTCTTTACTTAATGCATACGCAATGGAAATCAAAGAAACCAAGCAAATAAAATGCGTTCATACCAACAAAAAGGAGTTGAAGTGTGAGGGGTACACAGTAGCCTCTAAAGAAGCCCTCCAACCTTTCCCAACGTAATCAATCATGAGTACACTGTAGAGAAAACATCCTGTCATCGATACCCTAATCCAACCAGCACATATCCCCTCCCAATCCCCTTCTTTCACACACATTCTACCATTTTCATTAACACATCACAACACATGACTTCTATATGCATGAAGCTTTGCAAATTCAGCTTGCATTTTCACAAAACTGATCCACAGTGACAAGATACGTGTATGCTCTTTATATTCCTAACCTTACAAATTACACAAATCTAGGGAAGCCCATAATGGAATACGATAAAGCTTAAAATTTGATAATTATGAGTTCAATTTACATCAATTTCATTAAGCATAAGGTATAAGACGCAGAGAAGTGCATCCTAGGCGGAAATAGACACACTGTACAAATTATACATCGAGAGGAAGAAAAAATATTGGAAAAGGAGATAAAAACCCACCCGGAGGCATGGCACCTTGGAGACCAGGCTGCTGCATAGCCGCATAACCATTCGGCATAGGCGGTCCATATCTAATAGGCTGACCAGCCATGCCATAATGCGGCAGCATCATAGGGTGCATCAAAGACAACGGTGCCTGCGGCGGTGGGCCACTCCCAACTACCGGAGACGACGGTAATACTACTCCCGGAGGTAGTACGCCAGGGGTCTGATACGCCACATGCGGGAATTGCGGAGTGGCAGCGGTTGAAGGCACGGAAACAGGAGGCCCGGCGGCACGGAATGAAGGGTGGATCGGGGGTGGAGGGAGATTCAAAATTGACGGCGGCGGAGCAGCGCTGGGGCTAGGGCTGGAAAGTGGAGGAACTGCTGCGGGCGACGGATCGGGTTGTGAGGGTAGGGCATCCGATTGGGGTTGGCTGGTGACAGGATCTGGGTCGGCGGTCGGAGTTGCTTCTGGCGGTGGTGTAGAATCCGCCATTGATAGACGATAAGCTCTGGTTTTCCAACTCCGGGAGGTTTTAATTTTTTGGGGTTAGAGTTTTGGGGCTTGAACCCTAAATTAGCAGCTGAAGAATAAACAAACGCACGTTAATTTTTTTGAGGTGGGAATGTAAAAATAAAATTGTGAATCGGGTGTATGACGTGGCATCCTCTCATTGGCTGAATTTAGCCTTTTGTTAAATTTTGATTGTCATTAAAATGATTTTAGATTACCAACCCTCGTTAGGAGAGTTGGTACCTAGCCTTTACCAATAGGGTAACGGTCTAGGGTTCGAGTCCCCCCTCCCCTACTTTCCCTTGTAATTGACTTGAATTTTCTCAAAAAAAAAAATGATTTTAGATTGCTGATTATAAATTTCTCTTTTCACAAATATTCTAATTGCATTGCAATGTTATTTGACGTTAATTTGATTCTTTAATTATTTTTTTTTTCCCGATCAATCTTTTTACACATGTGTGCGTACTATACGATAACGAGTTTGATCAATGGACATATGTCGTACGCGTTCTTCATCAACAATATATAAGGTATTTATTTTAAATAAATGATACGAATAAATTTAGACCAAATGATTTTATATATAGAATGAAAAAGCCAAAATTCATCAATGATTATGAAGTCTAATAATTAAACATGTTTTTTAGGGTATAAAGTGACATAAGTTATTTTTTAGGGTGCAAAGTGTCAAATATTATATTTCAAGGGTACAAAATGGAATTAAGCATTTTTAAATAAACTTCTTTATCACTTTTATTGCATAGGCCCATCTAAAATAAAAGGCCCAATATTCAACAATAGCGGGCCAGTCCATTTCCCACGCAGAGGACTACTATAGCCCAACCTTGTATTTTTATTTTTATTAAATAATTTCATTTTATTATAAATGAATATTTTATAGTCAAGCAACATTAAAATATCATATTTTGTTAAAAAAAAAACTAATTATTACATATTCCAAATTATGATTAATTTTTTTATAGGACATTCTCTATTTATATATATATATTAGTGACAATATACCTAACTTGTTATTGATAGGTCGATTTGCTTTCGAATTTATATTTTGATCGAATGACTTTAATATGAAATTAAAAAGGTAAAAAAATCACAATATCACATTTCATATTTACCTTAAGTAAATGGTATGTGATAATTGAGCTAAAACACAACAAATGATTAGACTGACCTAGGGTTTTAAATGAGCTAAGCTGACTCACGATCTTATTTACGAGTCAACTCAAGAGAAACTCATACTCGAACATTTTGATAAGACATAATAACTCAATTTTAGTTGTTAATGAGCTCACCATTGTTTTTAATCTTATATATAAACAATATTACATAAAAAATTAATTAAATATTTTTGTAAATTTGTTATTATAGATATAGATAAGTTATAATAATAAAGAATTAACAATAATAATATAAGATTATTCGTTTCATATTTTTTGACACGCTTTCCACATGTGTTTATTATATGTTCATCCAAAAAGCAAGAGAGAGAAAAATACTTAAATTAAAAAAAAAAAAAAAAAAAAATCGGCGTTCAGAGAAAAACAAATTTAAATTTGCAGAGAAGAGTTGGAGAGAAGTCATTTCTCATTTTCTGCTGGACAATTCGACAAACACCTCTTGAACACCGTCTTTCCCCCCCACCCCTACTTCCAATTTCCAAACCTGTACATACACAGTGGTGTGTGCAGATGCATGGAAGGGGGAGGAGAGAGAAAGAGGAAATTGGACATCGATTGGAACGCTCTACTACCGCCTGGCGACAAGGACGATGACGAGCTGCTTCCTTCCGTGGAGGTGATTAAGGAGGCGGCGGCGGAGAAATCGGAATCTGGGGAGGAGGTGGTGATGGAGGAATCGCCAAAGGACCCCTCTCTCGGGCTCCTCGATGACAAGGCACTGATGGAAAAATTTAATAGGGTAAAACGGAATTTGGCTTCAATGAAATTGTGCGATGGCGGCAAAAAATTGCGGCTTAACTTGAAGACTATAGAAGCGGAGGTGGAGCGGAGAAAGTCTCGGAAGGTTGGGTTTATTTTTTTATCCCTCAATTTAGGGCGTTGTTATCTGTAATTTTGATGTGGGCATTAGTATTTTTCTTGGTAGAAAATGCAGGCGAAGAGAATGTAGGCGGTGTATATTATTTTCTTGGGGTTTCACTTTAGGGTGTTTCCGTTTTGGTTTCGGTTTCGGGTTTTCGGGTTTTCGGTTTTTGGGTTTCCGGGTTTTCGGGTTCGGTTTGTAATGATGGTTAAGTGTTGTACACAGAGTTATTAATCATTGAAATTAGTTGACTTGGTTTAGAGAAGTGATTCTGGAAGTTGAAAATGGAATGCAGATTATCATTTCCAGAAATTGTCATCGCAATTTTGGAGGGAAGTAACTGTCATTTTGATGTGGATTTGATGGCATTCCTCGATTAAGTTTATTCATCTTCTGTGGAATCTATTGTTGCTTTATTAAGGATCAGTGGTGGGAACTCTATTTTGAGTCTGAGAGGAAAAACGTTTGAACAAATTCATTATAGTCTAGAAGTTAAGTGGAATCACACAATGACTTAAAGAGAGAAAAAAGGGATTAAATGATTTCGTTGTTGATTTGTGAAGAGAAGAGCAGGAAAAAGGAGGTCTATTTGTGTATGGCTAATTTGATTACAAGGAGCTGCAGATATTTATCTTTCCTTTTGAAGTTCTGGCCGTGTGAAATTGTACCCGTTTCCCCCTTATCACTGTGAAATTGGGGGCTTGACCAGGAGTATCGAAAATAAACTCTCTCTTTATACTCCTTTTTCTTTGATAGTAAACCTGAAGCAATGAAAAAAGAACAAATAATGTATATATTTGGAAGTACCGTCTTTCATTTTGATGATACATCATTTCCCTTTTCTTTTCGTGTTATACCCACCCTGCACTAGTCTTTCACTAACTTTTTCAGTTCTGAAACTTGTGTGTTGTAAACGATTATGTTCTCTTTTGTTGATGTACGGCATTTCTGATCACATTTGCTTTACAGGTTGATGACAATTTCAAGAAGGCGATTCCAGTGGATGACGATTCTACTGCTACTGGTAGGTTAAGTGGCTTTATTCCTCTAATCTCTGATCCTTTTTTCTGTATTTTTACATGGTGTGAGAGAAGAAACTTAACGTCTGCAACTTTTTTCCTTACCGTTTACCTCATTAACATAATATTATTTGTAATCTAGAGCTGCAGACGTGGCTCAATTTTAAAAAGGTTAGCTATGTGGCTGAATTTTTGAAAGAAGTTCATTAGGCCATAATAACAGAATCATACTTCAACCATGAGGATGAACACAATAGGCATTTTGTTTTCTAGTAACCATTTTGTTTGAGTTGTCGTTTTGTGAAAAATAATTCTTGGAACTATTTTGAGAAGATTCCACATGGAAATGTGTTAGTATGAATGTGTTTTGGTTTAGTGACTTTCAATGTTTGACCAGTTGACTTGACGTCATTTAATGTTGGGGAAATGTGTTTGGTTTACTTGTCTTGATATTGATAAATGAAATTGTTTTCATAAACTTAGACACGAAAACAAATAGTTCTTGGACTGAAAATTAAAGAATATCATAGCATAGCATCAGACATAAGTGATGGATACTCTCCTAATAGATTAAATCTTTGATATATTTTGTAGGTGCAACTGATAGCGTATCATCTCGTGGAGCTCAACCGTCTATGCCTCCTTCGCAATCTCCTTTTGCTTTTCACCTTTGCAGCAAGTTGGATGTTCATGTATGAGTTTGCCCTTAATTATATGCTTGATAGTCCTGAAGGAGATAACATGGTGCTCACATCCTTATTATTTGTTTTATCAAACAGAAGTCCAGCAAACCCTTTGAAAAAGAATTATCTACTTTAAATTGCTCCAATCACAGAAATATGAGAGAGAACAGACCATTTTCGAGTCACGGAACACACAGGATAGGCTTATCTTCAAGAACAACACCTTTTAGATCTCCAAGTCCAAGGCACCTTTCAGTAAACGTTGATGACCCCCCTCAATCAAATGGTGAGCTATCAGGAAGACACTCTTCTGCTCCCTCACCTCAACAATCTGCTAAAGATTTACCAAGCTATTTCACAAAAAAGTGAGTATTATTTCTGTAGTGCTTTTATCTTTCTGCATTATTTGTCATGAAAATTTTACGGATTCTCTGTGGTTAATTTGTGTTTACTTAATTTTCTTATTCATTTGTTGTACCATAAGTTTTGGTGCACATTGTTTTTAAAAGAGGTACCGTAGTTGCTCCCTGTTGTTTGTGTTTTTAATTATCATGCACCCTTAACCTCATATTCTACTGTATTTATAATCTTCTTAGGGAAATAGCTCCAAAGATGTCTTAACCTTTTCCCAAGCCACATGGTATTCCCCTTATGGCATACTATGGAATGATCCTTTCTAGTTTTAGCCTGATGATTTAATCCACGTTTTTAACCACCCACCAAATTCATTATAACTATGAAACACTGCTTCACTAAAAAAAATGCATATGGGTATTTGGATTCTGATATTCAACTGCATCGGAAATGGAATTTTATGTGGTGGTATAGTCTGATCTGCTTCTGCATTTTAGTTCCAGACTACGCACTGAGGATCGGGAATGTATTTTGTTGTTGAAGTTCATCAAGGGTAAAGCCTCCTTAACTCGGTGTGCCAGCACTAAGTGAAGGTCCTTCAGTTAGGCGGTTAAGTTTATACATGTGAATGGGAATGGTTTATACCTAGACCATGCTCGTATTAAATCTTGTTGACCCGATTTAGACCAATAGTGCGAGACCTTTTCTAAATCCTATCTGCTAGAAATTCAAGTTTTCAGTCCAAGACCCCTCGTACCCATCCTTTATGTTGTAAGATAGATTTTGACCATTAATCTTATTGAACACAACAAATGTGCTTCTTTTTCTTCTTCTTCTTCACTATTTTGTCTTCTACATACACATACAAGCATACCCAGATATTTACATGGATCTATATCCATACTTGTGTGTGTGTCAGATATGACCTATAGTGTGATGCCTCTGGGTTGAGGCTGTTTGTAGAAATGAATGGTGGCTAGTTGGAGATAGGAAATCAAGGAGGGTATGAGGAAAATAGAGAAAAGGCCAGGTCCCAGGCCAGATTTGTTAGGACAAGTTCTACTTGTAGAACGACCTTGCGGTATCAGGTATGAGTTGGTCTGGTTCTGTCTAGAGATAATTACTGATTGATGCATGTGTTGGGTCTGGGTTTCTGTCTAGAAATGGGTTGTGGAGACTCGTGACCTATTCGCATGCCTAATTCACACATAGTATTGTTCTTTGACATTAGTATATTTTTTAATCAGTGGAGTGTCCGATAACCAGTGGAGGAAGTATATTTTTGAACTAATTAGTTGAAATCATTGGAGCATGTCGATGGTCTGACTGCTGTTTACTTGAATGTCCTATGGAATAAAAGGCATTTGTGAATGTTCGCTGTCGGGTTTTATTTTTCCCATCACCCTGCTAAAGTTACAATTCTTACTAGGTCATATATATCATTATAAGTACAACAAACAATTACTACTATACCTTCGGAATGGAAATAGTTGAGCAAGAGAACATTACTGTGTTAAATATCGCCAACCCCCGTAAAACCAGCAAAAGGGAATCAATGTTATTTGGCACTTATTAATGGAAAAAATATTCATATTATATGTGATGGTGCAAAATGTTAACCTGATTTATTGCGATTGTTAGGGAAATTGCTCATTCTCAACCTACGCGTAACTCCAGAAGGAACAATGTAAGTTCTCCTAGTTCTTAGTTAAAATTTGTTTATCACCAATTGTCTGTTGCTTGTACAGAATTTATCATGCCTTACTTTCATGCTCCAAGCTTACTTGGATGCACCTTCCATTTTGTTAGTAGACTTTGGTGTGCTGTTGACCCTTTGAGATGCAATTTTTTTAAGGTAGCACTTGTTATCAATTATGAGAGTGTGTTTATAGAACTTAAGTTACAGAAAAAGAAAAAAAAGAAAACCCGAAGGCTGTGGAATGAAACAGGAGGGAACTTGAGAAACTTTTCATTTACAGAAATTGCTGTAATTTTTTCTATAGCAATTGATGAATCTCTTACTGTCAGTTCTCTATCTAAACACACGTAGTAGTTCTCTCTTGACCCTTTTTCGTCAACTGCTCATGTTTTTGGTTTGTTTTCCCTTGTTTTGTGCATTTACCCTAGTCTCCTTCTTTTCTTGTTCACTTCTATTCCTGTATACATGTTTAGGAAGGTCCTCTGTGGAACGTTGTAATTATTTTCTCCATCTTTACTATCAATCATATTTTTTTTAATGCAACAAGCCCATGTTAACTTTTCAGCAAAAAACTGTTGTTCTAGTGGATGAGGAGGAACTTGAGGTTGATGAAATAAGTCATGCAGACCAAGTGGGTCGAAGGTATTATATAGATATCCCTACTCCTTAGAAGTTTGAAACTTTAATTGATGTCGATTTTCAGGAAAAAGGTCAACCACATATTTTGTGCTCGAGGGATTAGCATATACTAATTCATATCTTTTTGCTCATTTCAGCAATAAAGAGGCACGGATATACTATCCTTCGAGGTACTATTTCACTGCGACATGTGTCAAACATGATGAGATTATCTGCCTTTACTCTGGTATTAAATTCTTCATTGTATTTCCTAAGATTTTGCTAGTTTTTGACATAGGGATGATCCTGAAGCTTTTGAAATTTGTTACTCGGACATGGAATGTCTGGCTCCTGAGACTTATTTGTCATCACCCATCATGAACTTTTACATTCGGTAAGTCAATAAAATGTTACTAAAATATTATTATAATGATGATAACGATAAATAATAATAATTATTATCGTTCCCATAATCTTTAATGAAGAATGATGTTTCCTGTCAAAAAGAGATTTTCTACCTCTTCATCTCCTTTCTCTGCTTTGCTTTTGATTCAGCTTGATTGACGATATTAGTCAGTTAACTGGTCTGACTGCATCCCGTTTATATCCTCAGCGTGTTATCAACGGATATAATTCATTGGCAATTGGCATCATGCAATTCTATGAGATATGCTGTTGGCAACTTAGTAATTTTGCACTGTTCTTCTGCTCATAAATTAAGAAACTTAAACTTATAATTTATGGTTCACTTGTCTGTTCTGCCTCATTGTTTGTTAGGTGTTCCTAGCTTGTACTGAAATCACCATACTTGGCGGGTATTGTCATCTAAATGGATGTTGTTTGGATTGACTTCTGGTCCTGACATTGTAAACTAAGACTACCAAGTCTCAAAGCACTTGCTAATAATTGTATGTTATCATATAAAAAAACATTATATGTTCCGGTTCCGCCATATTTATGTTGCAATGTACTTCAGCACTTACGCTATGCTACCGTTCGCAGTTATAGCTTCAGGTGTGGAAGGAGTATACTCAGTGCAAATCATTTGAATCAAGCGGATAAAACCAAAATTATTGATTTTTAAAATACGTTAGCAATAACAACTTTACCTTATTAGCCTATTTCTGTTGACTTTCTTTTTTTCAGAAGATTTATTTTCCTCGTGGCTTCATTAATCTGCATTTACTTTAGATGAATGATTGTTTGTATTCCCTAGTTGATTTACACCGAACTAGAGTAAGCAATCTCTACACATCTGAAATATCAAAAACTGATTGATGTTGAATCACTTTGCAAGAAAATGAAAAAAAGTTATTCCAGTTGTCATATAATCCTTTAAAATCTGTAAGGTACTCCATTTACATCCTCTCTCCTTCTGACTTGAAATTGCAAGTAAGGGGCAGCTGCTGTATAGTAATGCTGAGATAATTTTTTAACTGAACTACTTTGGTTAGGTATCTGCAGAAGCCCACATCTCCAATGGGCAGAAAGAGATGTGATTATCATTTTTTCAATACATACTTCTATAAGAAGTTGAAACGAGATGTCCTGACCAAGGTATATCGACTTCTTCTGAACTTATACTCTTGAAGGCGATTCTTCTCTTTGAACACTCAACTTGATTCTTAGTTTAGGCCATGGATTCAACCATATTATATGATGTGGAACTTAGGATAAGCAGGTATAGAATCACCAATATGCACATCGCTTCTAGGTATTTTCATGTGGCCCTTCTCTTATTGATGAGAATTTTACAGCTCCTCATGTTTTTTACTTAGCATGTGTTTTACTGTTGCAAGAAAGAACTTGTACCATTTAAAAGTGGGTTGTTCATCTTGTTTGTCTTTGATATGAGATACTACAGCGGCCGCCATGTAAAAGATGTTTGATGTTGTTATCTGGTCATCGCATGCACATCTTACAAAAAGTGGCTGACAACTTTGAAATGTTTCCTGATTGTATTGAATTCGTCAATGGATGTCTAGTTTACTTGGTTTAAAAAGCTCACTACTGGCAGAATCTTATCATATTCAGTAAAAAAAATCAAACGAATCAATCCACTCCATTTGATGGAAACTAGTCGTCTTCTTTTACTTCTCCTACTTGGTCTTCTTACTTTTCAGTTAGACTACTTGATTTTCTATTTTATTAAATTAAATTCTGAAAATTTATTCCTCAAACAATGATACTGTTTGCAAGATTAGAATCCTTGCTTAGATGGGTGTTTGTTTTCTTGGAAGGTATCATTGATTGTTTTTTTCCTATGCTGCAGATTGATAAGGAAACTTCATTTAAGAAGTTCAGAAGGTGGTGGAAAGGTGTTAATATATTTGAGAAGGCATATATCTTTTTACCGATTCATGAAAGGTAAGTAGTATGATCAGCTGACAGCTGTGAGTCTCTTTAGAGTAAAGTCACCTATACAGTTCTGCATTGCACCTTGGCATCAGAAAAAAAATTAGTTTATCAAAAGAACCAACATCATTAGCATGACCTTTGGATGCAACTCTTTTTTCTTTACTTTTTTTTTTTAATAAATTTGGATTTCTTTCTTATCACCTTGATGATGATGATGACTCTGATGATGTGTTAGAATAATTTCTTCTGGAGCAGTAATAATTAGAAAATCAGCTATCTCATTTCACCACTTAAAAATGAGGTAATTGCTGCATACAGAATTGAATGAGTTGTATGAACTTTTTCCCGTAGTATTAGGTCATGCATCCTCAAACTTACGAGCTATTATGTAAGTATGTGCATTTCATTCATTGATCTCCAAGCATCTGCATTCTGATATGTGCATGCGTGCTGTAAACTCTGATGCTGATGCATTGCATTTTCACATTCTGTGAAAGCCTGAATGTCAATCTTCAGTGTCTACTGAAAGTTTTATATCTTTCTTATCTCATTTTGAATATTACCTGGGCTACCTCATCAACCTCATTTTGCATCATCTTCTTCTGGCAGTCACCACTGGAGCTTGGTTATAATTTGTATACCTAATAAAGAAGATGAATCAGGGCCAATTATACTTCATTTGGATTCTTTAGGAATGCATATCAGCAAGTCAATTTTCAGTGATGTGAGGAGGTAAGTTGAATTCAGTTCTTGGTTATATTGCGAGCCAATTATTAAACCACAAAGCCAAAACTATCGGTCTAATTGGCATAAGGTGTACAGAAATCCCAGAACCATTACCTTATGATTTACGCATTCTATCTGCAGCTTTATAATAGAAGAGTGGAATTTTCTAAAACGAGAAGAAGTGCTGCCTGAACTTCCCATCGCAGACAATATCTGGAACAAGCTATCTCGAAGAATTGATGAGAAAATAGTTCAGGTACGGCTTTGTTCTTCTGCTTAAAAAAGAAGAAAAAATATGTGCATGTCCGGAGGAGCTCTCTTTATGTAGTTTGTTATGATATCTTCATTCAATTGCAAGAGGCACAATATTATATGTCTTCCTTCCAAGAAGACATCAGTTTTAATATTTCATAAGCACTCTGCTATTTCATCATTTCATCCATTATTGTGGTATCCTACTCATTCCCAAACGAAACATTCTGAGAAAAAGGGCACATATGGATCGTAAATAGTTACTATTTCTATTGAGCTTCCTGTACCTCAGCTAACGTAACTGACTTTTATCCCCCCACCCAAATCATGAAACAGGTGCCTCAACAAAGTAATGAATACGACTGTGGTCTTTTTGTTCTTTTCTTTATGGAACGTTTCATTGACGAGGCCCCTGAAAGACTGAAGAAAGAGGACATAGGAATGGTAATTCTCTCATTCTAGTGCATCACATCATGACTTTTTATAGTTCCTCCATCTTATCTTTCGTTTTTGTTTTCTCCTACTTCTTCCTGAGACACTGTTTTTGTTTTTTTTTTTTGGATATATTTTATTTGCAATCAGTTTGGCAAGCAATGGTTCAGACCACAGGAGGCTTCCAGTTTGAGAAAAAAAATTAGCTCTTTACTAAGAGACGAGTTCAAGAAAGCAGACGAAGGCATATGTGAATTGGACCCCTAACCCCTGCTGTAAATGGCGACACTCGGTAACAGATTGCTGTAAATTGGTTCAGACATCGCTATGGAACTGCTAATCCACTAATCCTGTAAGAGTTGGGTACTCTTTAGTCGTCAAATATCATTTTTTTGTCAAGAAGCTTTGCAGACTCGGTGGTGCATCTGAGTTGAAGATTTTGAAACAACATTCTGCCCACAGCGTCAACATTTTTACATGTCCCGTAATTATGAAGCTTCAAAGTAAATATGTCAACTACATGACTTAATCATCTAATCAGTGTTAACAGTTGTTTAGAGGGAAGCGAATTTTGGTGTATATTCGAGGTCATCAAGCACTCTGTAGAGATCGGCAGTGTTCGTTTTTCGGTAATAGGCTTTATTGGAACACTGAAGATGGAGGGAGACTAGTAGGTGGTTAGTTGAATAGGAAGTGAGGTTTCAAAGTTCCCGCCTTATTGATCTACAATGTCAACCCCTAATGTAAATGGATTTAATTTTTTGTTCATGTTAATTTTTCTTGTTGGGTTAAGATTCTTGCTCTCTGCTCCCCTTTTGTCCAATTGATTCTTACTATCTCCTACTGAAAGTGTGTGTGCTTTTTTATTTACTAGTATTCTTTCCGTGCGATGCGCACGGGATAATATTTGAAAAGGGAAAAAATAATTAACGCAATACGTGATATTTAAATTACAGTAACAAGATGCATTCATTCTGATAATACAAAGCTATTCAGCAGAAGATTATATAAACTCAATTTTTATAATATGAAATTAATCATTAATAAAGATTTTTTTCTAATAATAAAAAATAAAAAATTAGTAGACGAAAAAAATAGAAAAATAATAATTAAAAATTTTAGTAGAGAACAAAAATAAAATCACAAAAATATCGTTAAAAGGTTTTTCTGTATTTTATATACAAGATTTATCATTTTTTTGGGCTGAGTCACAGGTACTAAATGCCATTCTCATCCCTAAAAAACATGTTCGTCATTGACGGGGTGGGGTAGTACCGTAGTAGGACCCATGTGCATATTGTGATATATTTATATATATATAGGAAAAATATATATGAGTGGTACTGAAAGTTAGGTTGTGCAGATACAGAAAAAGCGGACACAAAAACAAGGTTTACGAAATTTACATATCTAATTACTATCACAAGTGTCCACATGTTACGTATTTTGGACATATGCACATTTGAGTCGAGCAGAGATAGGCTGGCAGCCGGCAGTCAAACTAAACACCTAAAGAGTAGGATCTCAATTGCTTCCTCTTTTTCTTCTCAGGGGTTGCATGCACTTGAGTTTTCATCCCATATGTTTTCATCTGGAAATTTTCGAATGCCTCCGACACAGCTTCCACCTGTCCGATATGTCACGGAAAAGTTCAGCAAGTTTAATTCTATACCAAAACCACACACACACACACGCATACATATTGTTTGTTTGCTCACCAGGTGAGGCTTCTTGGAGTAAACTCTCACGATCCTGTCTTGGTAAGATGTAGGTAGCAAGTGACTGACCAGTTCATCTTTTATATTAAATTTCTCACTGCTATCGTAATCCTGAGAAGACGAACAGACAACATTTGTTTCAACACTTAGCTGAGCTATCCTCTCTCAAATCATCAAATTCGAGATATAATTTGATCAAATAAGAGAAAATAAATTTTGAGCTCTAATGAGTTAGTTACCTTGAAAAAGCTGACACTGGTGTAGATAGAGAAGCACATGGACACAAAGAAAGAAGAAATCGTTTTAGACTTTGAATCATGAAACCATACAAAAATAATTAGCTATCATCAGCTAAAGTACCTCTTGAATGGATTATTCCTTCCACGAGTCAGATCAATTTTCACATTGCTCACTGCTATATCTTCCTCACTTAGTGTTGGGTGACTAGAGCTCTGCATTACAAGTTAATTCCTCAGGAACTTATACTTGTCATTTGAATGATACACTAATTGAATTTGGATGGACCTGTGAACAAACTATATCTTGTGGAGTCACGTTCTTGAAGTATTCCATGTTTTCCTTTGGAACTGCAAACTCATTGCAAAACTGCAAAAACGTTTTAGGCACCAGAATATAATGTACGGCATTATTTTTCAGAAAATTGGTAAATAATTTTCTGCACACAACAAGATTTAGTGGTCGTTCGAGTGTATTGGAAGTTACCTGGTACAGATCTCTTCTCCGGATGCGGAGTAGCAGATCTCTTGATTCCTTCAGATTTTGGTCGGAAGAGGTTTCAATCGTTTTAAATATCGTGTCGTCTAACTGCAATTTTGTTATAAATGGAAAATTAGAGGCCCAAAATACAAACTGATACGTCTGTATTAATCAAATCTCCAGTTACCTTCCAGTATTGACCTGGTTCATGAATGTGTGATGAAATATCAAGTGTGTCATTTGCGTTCGTTATGGCATCAACAAACATGAGTTCTATTGCCTGAAAAGACAATTACTAGAGTGTTTACGCCAAGATGAAATGAAGTCGGAATAGAATGTCTTAAAACACAAAGCATTAAGAATCAGGCACCTTCACTTTTGCATGCGTATAGACCGTACGATGCAAATCTGCCCGAGTAGCAAATAACTTGTGGATGGTAAGATCTGATATATGCGTAAGTGCGTAACGTAAGATGAATGTGGCATAAAAAGTTAATGAAAAACAAAAACTGATATAGCTATAAATACTGACACTCCTTGGCACGATAGCATATCTCATCATCTATCACACGCATGGCTTCAAACACCCTGCAAGTGATAACAGTAAAATTAGGAAATTTTTCCATTGGGAAACTTAATTTCATAAATAGATTGAAGGCAATAAGAACGAAATAAATTATTTGGTAAATTAATACATATTTGGTAGCTAAATTTCTTTCTAAAGATTCAAGCACACCTCTGAAACTGAAAATTGCAGCCGAGGCCGCAAGCCCTGGAATCACGGACAAGGTAGTCGAATCTGCAGCCAGTTTTTCATTTATGGTGAGTAACTTTTTCTCTCTTTTTTTTATTCATTTCTAACCATTGGGGAAAGGAATTGAGATAGAAGATTTACTTGTCGACATCAATTCCATTGCGCCCATTAGCAACAATGTCGTACAAGAAAAGCTTCTCCTTGAAGCTCTACAAACAAATTTAGTTATCATAAAATGCAGAAGAAAGCTATTTAGTCCACCAAATAACAAGTATGCATGAAACCTTTTCATTGCAACTACTTACTTTTGATGCTCCATTCTCAGAGGCAACTATCAGTTCCTGAAAGAAAGAGAGAGCCAAAAATTAAGATGGAGGAGATAGAAAGCGAGAGGGAAAAATTGCATAGTTCGTGTAAGAACTCTGCATAGCAGTCGCAAACTGTTATATTATTATCTAAAGTCATCAGCATGGAAAAAAAGGGTTGTTCGAAATGCATATTCTTTCAGTATTAGCCTGTGTTTCTCCAATTAAAGTACTAAAGTCTCCAATCGGAGTGAGGCTTCTATTGGAAGCCGAGCTTGTGAGAGTTTCAGTCGTGAAACTTGTACAAGTTTCTACAGTAATTAGGAATACTCATACTAACAAGAGAGCATTGGAGAGTTAGCAATCAAACCTTCACTTTCTTAAGACTTTCAGGATCAATATCAATATTATGTTCATCTACGACATAGTCTATCATCTTCAAAGACATTTCTTCATGAGACCTGCAAATATTATACATTACCTAGATGATTTTTTTTTTGGGTAGCACATATTAATGGATGGAAGAAAGATATATGGAATCACCAGTCCAGGCCAGGGAGAACCCGTGGAAGAAATTCACGCTCGAACATGTGGCTGAAGGGCCCATGACCCAGATCATGCAGTAGACCTACAACAATTGGTAAAGGCAAACAAATGAATGACAGCCATGACCGCAAATAAATGACTACAAATTTAACACATTAATTTACCCGCGATTTTAACAGTTTGTGTGTCAAAATGATCAATATCAAGCTCCCTGCCCTGCAAAGCTAGCATGCATAAGGCCCTTATTCTCAGTTATATGATCAGTAACTATATTATAAAGACATTACTTGAAAGGTTTTCAATCTGTTGATAGCTTCACCAGCCAGCCAATACACCCCAAGTGAATGCTCAAACCGAGAATGCACAGCCCCAGGGTAAACCAAATAAGTCAAACCTATATATATGTATTTGAGGGGACTCAGGATAGACCACAAATTAAATGAGTGTCACAAAATTTAAGGAACAACCAATTGGTCGTAAAAGTTCCAAACAGGACATTTATAATGGACCTGATCCTGGTGTCTAACTGATATTACCAGTTTCCACAAATGACTTGCAGCTATTATCATAATATAGAGACAAAATGATGTTTACAGAGATCTTATAAGAGAAACATTATCTTTCAAGTGCGTCACAAGTGATAGAAAACTGACTGAGCTGAATATGATCGCCAAGTTATTTTTAATGTAATTATGTTATGGATTCAATGCAACCATCTCTTACCATACCTGAACTGCAAATGCATATAATAAAAATATCCCAAACTCACCTAGCTGCTTCAGATCACGAAGTCTGCAACACATTGAGGAATGTGGTAGATAAATACTTCAGATATAATAAAAAGGAATATAACTAATGATCGCACCAAACTCTAAACAGGGGAAAAAATGACACACGCAGCCTTCGATAGTCTGACTTACCTCTGAAACTGTTCAGTGTCAACGAACTTCAAAGAGAGCTGCGATTCAAAAGGAGAAAAAAAAAGATGAGGGTGAGAATCAAACTTTGATGGACAAATAATTGAATGATGTACCACGCCACCTAATTATTTTCTCTTCTTCTGACTTTAAACCTAACGGGATAGTCACGTAATCAGAGCAATAGCAAATAAGATAATGCCATACAAGGATAAAAAAAAATGAAGGAGTTAAAACAAAACACATAAAAATATATAATATATGCCACGACTTTCTGCTTTTGTATCAATCAAGTTATTATTGAAAGATCCACGTGCATACGTAGTAGGAGGAGCATACATGTTAGTTTTAAAAAATAAAACAGATGCACATGTGCCTGCATATGCAGAAATCGTGCATAATAAAAAATGCTTTTGACTTGGATAGTATGAGAAACAGGAATAATCAAATCACAACAAATTATATATGGCTTTTGAATCTGAGAGGACCGTGTATTCTGCAATCTTCAACGGCTATTATATCAACATAAAACAGATCAAATGCAACTCTATCACTTAAAGGCACACAATCTCCTTCATCAACTAAAAAAACTAGCAAAACAAAACAGAAGAACGAAAAACATCTCTGCTCCGGTAAACTCCAATTTTACAATTAAAACTAATTCAGCACGATACTACACCAGCATATCAGTACGATTCCACCTCCCCAAACGCAATCACATAAATTAAATCTCAATAGTTAAAAAAACTAAGAATCAATTCCATTTTCTCTTCAAAATTGAACTTAAATCCACGCATGCAGGAGAGAGGAAAACACGCTTTCAGCAACAAATTGAAACGAAAATCAGAAGTATACGAAAAGCAGGAGAGGAAAAATACATACAGGATCGAGATAAATGTTGCCGTGGACATTGTCGTGTATGTGCTTCGATAACCTCCGCTCGTCGGTCGAAGATAACGCAGAGTTGTTGCTCGGAATTCGCTCCTCAAAGTATGTAGCTCCCATGCTTTTCTCAGGCGAATAGGAAACAGTGCCGGAAACTGTAGAGAGAGAGAGAGAACGAAATTGGAATTCTAGAGAGAGAGAGAGAGAGAGAGGAGGCAGTTACAGAAAAAAGAAATAGGAAGTGCTCTCCAAGGTTTTTAGAGAGAGTGGAGGAGTATTTATATTTATTTATAAATGGAATTTTGGGAATTTGGAGTGGTGCTGTGGTGGTGGAAGGATGTCGTGATGCCGCCAAAAAGGTACCTTTTTGTATACTCATGGATGAATTAAATAGTGTATACTTCTCTTCTCACCCCCAAATTTCAATATTTAATCGAATTTATTTTTTCAATTTTTCAGTTATACTTATTATATAGTATAGTGTACGTTACCCTCAATAAATTCTCTAATTAAATTTTCCCCAAAAGAACTCTTGAAATTCTGTATTTAATTGTTATAAGTTATAACACCTCATGAATGCATTATTTATTAAAGTGTTGTTTGTGTGGTCTCCAACGATTATACTTGACGTTCAGATCGAAATATCCGAAGTTGAATAAGGTTTTATAAGATTGATGTGAGCAATAACTCGAATACCTTTAAAACGTATAGTAGTGTTTTCATTATATCATACAGTTAAAACCTCCATAAATTAATATGATAGGGACTATCAAAATTCTATTAATTTAACGAAATATTAAATCATCGAACTAATAATTTCATAAATCGAGTATTAATTTATAGAGACTCTACTGTATTTATGAGTTGCAATAATAAATCCACTACCAATACAGTAGAATTAGGCATTTAATTCATCATAGGGAAGCCTGGATTTCCCTGAAAACACCCCACAAGTACAATTTACCCTGGATTCTCCAAAACCTCGGCGGCAACAAAACCGAACTAAAAACCAGAAGCTACGTGTTTTCCACTAATGCCCTCATGGCTAAATCGTCACGTATCATCTCAAACATCAATTGGTCGAAAATCTTTTCTTGCTCCATTGGAAAGAAATAAACCGCAATATTATCTTCGGTGGGGCCCGATCCTGCCCGAAAGCTCTTCGGCCAGACATTACACTTGGGCAGCAAATCGAAGCGCATCACATGTTTGAACTTTGAAGCTTGCGTGTGAATTTCCGTGCCCAATGATTTGATTGACAATCCCGCGTAAAGCTCGCCGATTTTTGTCGGGAAAGAATCGTTTTTGTTGTTGTGAGGAATAACACTGAAACTGCCGAACCAAATCGGTCGGATTAAAGGCTGAGACATGAAATTGAATTGTTCTTCTTCTTCGTCGAAATCGCAGAAGGGCAGAAGTTTGTTGTAGGTAGGGTTTTTATTGTGTCTTGTGCTGGATATCTCTTCTTCTTCGTCGTCGTCGACCTGATGATCTAGAAGTGTTGATGAATTACTTACCGTTGATAATTCGGAATATTTGAATTCGTCAATAATACGATATAAGTAATCATAAGAATCGTCCAGTTCATGTTGTTGTTGTTGTTCATCCTGGAAATTCATCATCATCATCGATGGAAATTAATTAACTCAATTAAAAGAAATTATTAGATGGGAATTGAATGAGAGAGAGAGAGAGAGAGAGAGAGAGAGAGATTATATATATAGATAGATTATGTTGTGTAGAGAGAAGTGATTAAATTAATCCCAAGTTTAGTTGGAAAGGCATTCTTCTGTGCATGGGAAGAAGTAATTAAATAGGGAAACCTAATTAAGTTCAGTAGGATTGAAAATGGCTTAATTCCACTTTGCACCCTTGAAATATGTCATTTTGGCACTTTGCAACCTCGAAACAAATTAATAGCACTTTGCACCCTCGAAACACAATAAATCATTCACAATGCACCCTGAATTGAATAATAAAGGCAATTTTATTTTTCATTGGTGTTTTTTTTTCGGGGTGCAAAATAAAAAAAATAAATTGTTATTTTCTTGAACCCCCAACCTAATTTCGAGCGGACAAAGTGCGAAAAAATAAAAACTACACGGATTATTTAAAAAGCCTACATTTTCTTACAAAATAAAAAATAAAAAATAAGCTTTTATCACTAAATTATTCGATTGATGGAGCTTTTATGTAACTGTTTGAAAATATTAGGTGAAAATACTTGGAAGAAAATATGATTTTCAGATAACTTGATAACGAAATAGTTGAATGATTTTTTTTTCGTAAAATATTTGATTTTTGTTATAAAAAAAATTAATATATATATAAAATTTATTTTTATTTTTGAACTTTATAGTTTCAAAATGATTGATGAATAAAAAAAATATTTGAGATTTGGCATCCTAAAAAAAATACCACTAAAAATATTAAATTACATTTTTTAGCTTTAAAAATTCATTTGGGGTGCATTATGCATGATTTATTGTATTTCGAGGGTGCAAAGTGCTATTAATTTGTTTTGAGGGTGCAAAGTGCCAAAATAGTATATTTCAAGGGTGCAAAGTGGAATTAAGCCGATTGAAAATTAATTATATTTTTCATACAAATAAAATATTTATTTATTTATTTTTTGTTATTCCTCATGAAATTCAATTTTAAATTTGCTAAAATTTTATATATTGGAAGGAACGAATCGGAATTAGCCATTTAAGAAAACAAATCGGTTTTTTTTTCGGAAGTGAAAAACTAGCTCCAATTCCGTTCCAAAAAAATCGGAATTTCGGAAATTCGTACAAAAAAATTGTTCCAAAATCAATTTTTTTTGGATCGGAATCGTCAAAATTCGGAAATTTCCAATTTTTGGTCAACTAAAATATAAAATACATAAATATTGGGATTTTAAGTGTCATCTTCGAGAAAAAAAATCGGAAATCTTTTCGAAACTTAAATCGGATCGGGTGTCGAAAACTCATACACAATAGTTAGTACATGTAGCGCCCCGCCCCGAGTAGCAGGCACCTCGTGGTGGGACACCACTCAACATGCAGTACATTTAATGACCCCAAATATGCTCCTCCAAATTGCGATGATCAAAACATTAAACCCCCCAATATCTATAACATCGTGTTTACAAAAGGGGATTCTATTACAAGTCGACTTCGACACCACTTACTCTATTACAAAATTCTCGATCAAAGGATTCCTATACGGAACATAAATAGAGATACCTCTCGACGAGACTAATCGGAGGTATACACGAGCTTTAACTCTTAGTATGAAAATTTAGGTATAAATCTTTCTTTTACCTGCGCATTAATATCAGAAAGGAGAAACGAATAAGTCCGAATGACTTAGTGAAAAACATATGATCCATGAGTATGATGAGAATCAACAGAACAGAACATATAACGAGAGACTTTACAAGAATTTCATTAACAGAAGTGTAACATGTACAAGAGTGTAACATGTACGGCTTGAGTTCAATATTTGGTGGGGTCTCCAACCTTGTAACTCCCAACAAATAAAATCATATCACATCCTTATCCCTCCAATCCGTCCCGAGTGGCCACTCGGTCGGAAACAAGCAAGAGGCACGACCGGAACGTGCCGATTCGGCTCAAGAACATTTAACTCCAAACGAACGTGAGTCCGAACCATCAGGAGGTACCATTCGGGAGACCAGTCATCGGCAGCCCAATACTGCCCGATCGTCTTGCCGAAATGGTCCTAGGGCCCAGCTCCCCCAAGAGCGTCCTCAAGGGTGGGGACAATAGGTTCAAGAATCAATATCATTCCTTTTAGGAATATCAAGTCATTCATTTCAAGAATCAATTCAAGAATCAAGTCAATCATTCACAAGATAAGTCACGATCATGATAATTGAATATCAAGTCTCAGGATAATGAACATGTTCAGATTTCAATTCAAGCCAATGAACAATTGTCGTGAATATGGAATTCAAGAAGAACAATAAATTCCATGTCACAAGATCTCGATATATTCAATAAACATGAGATTCAAGTTCGAGCCAACAAAATATTTATTCTCGGAAGGCATTCAAGACAAGATTTTGAGAATAAATATAGTTCAATATCGATTCAAGGAAAATGTTCAGGCCAATGAATCAAGTATAGGAATTAGCCGTGAACATAGCAACCAAGAGAATTGAAAAGTTCAAGATTTCAAGGACAAGATCATGGTTCCAAGTTCGAGCCAAGAAAACAATATGCTCGCAGAACATTAAGGATCATATTTCAAGAACAAATATAATCAAGGTATCGAAGGCTTCAATATATACAAAATATTCGGTTCAAACAAAGGAGATATTATGCGCAGAAAAGAAATTGGATAAGGAGTCATAGTTTCTCACCTGGAGTCCAACGCTAGTGTTATAGAAGTGCTATAAGCATCTTTAAGCTTATACCTTGAGTCAGAGCTTTACTACGCTCAACACCTATGCAAATATTAGAACTAAATAAGAATCCAAACAGTAATATAGCCATATTACCATCCACTATATGACATGGTCAATTTCTTAAACATATACTAAGAATTGCTTCTCGTGGCACTCTATTCAAATAATCACTACGATCGTCGTACTTATCCGAATGACCTAAACGATATATAAAGTTAAAGATAACATCTGTATCTACAAGTTTACTGAAGACTTTAATCCCAAATTAACAACATAACCCGTCAATAACAACCCCGAAAGATGAATACATAAACCTGCCAGATTTTCGGATAATTTCGTTTACCGTCACAGCCCGTTTGAAAAATCATAACAAATTGTACGGTTATCCAAATTGTCCAAATAATACATCAAATGAAACCTTACAACTTAATCTACAAGTTTCATGAAGGCACAGAGCCCAAATTATGATCCCAACATATCGAAAACAGTCCCGCAAGAAGATACTCAAAACTGCCCTGTTTCCGGCAGATTACTGTTATCGGATTCCGACGTCTAAAACACGTATAATAAATATTCTAATTCGATACAATTGAACACTTACTTATAGTTTACGATGTCCTCTACGAGTTTCCTGAAGGAACCGATTCCAAATTCGCATTCGAAACCCTTCGATTTCGGCTCCGAAAACAGGTGCGGCAGAAGATTTTATTTCCCCAAAATCCCAGCGGGCTGGCTGACTTCTCCTCAAACTCCGGCGACCACCGGCGGTGCAAACCCTCGAGAACCACCA